AAAAAAAAAGAAAGAAATTATTTTGTAAAAGACTAAAAGAATAGTTCATTCGTAGCATAAAATAATAATTACAAATTTGAAAAAATTCATTGATTTTTTTTTTCAAAGAAAAAATAAATAAATAAATAAAATAAAATACAAAAAGTTAATTACCACACAACCCAACAAAAATCATGAAATAAAGAAATTGTTCTTTTTTTTTTTTGAAAAAAAAATGTCCGTTTCATATTTTTTTTTTTATATATATATAAAATTAAGTCAAACGACCACGAGTTCTTATGTAAGCAACAAGAAGATAAACGAATACGATGATTATTATTAAAGAATTTGAAGCACAACGACGACCCCACATCCTTGTCTTTTCGCTGCGACCAAATATACTAAATCCCATTCCGATAAACCAAAGAGGCCAAAATAAGAAACCAAAGAAATAAAGCTTTTTGGTGATCGGCCAAGGAGCCTGAGTGTCAAGAGGAACATTATCAATATGAGCTTCAGGAGTTATTATTGGGGTTTGGTAAATCGGAGGCATGTCAATTTTAGCATGATCGTAAGTTGGTAAATCTGTCGATGCAGATGTTTGGGATATGTGAGCTTGTGTTGGATAAGCTAATGATGAATTATTCGTTGTTGAAGTGTTTTCTTGTTGTGTATTATTATTATTAGAAGTATATTCTGGTGGATTAGAAGCTATTGATCTTGTATCAGAAGAATCAAATTCTGAATTTTGTTCTAATAAGCCATCCAATTTTTGTTGTGCTGGTGTTGATAACGTTAATGTTATTATTGGAACGTTAACTTCTCCCATCGTAAAATTATTATTATTAATAAAGAAATTCCTTTGTAAAAAATTCCTTGTCTTTTTTTAAAAAAAAGTAAAAAATTCTTTCCTTGTCTTTTTTAAAAAAGTAAAAAATTCCTTGTCTTTTTTTTTTTTATAAAAAAAAACAAGAGTAAAATAAATAAAAATAAAATAAAATAAAAATAAAGATTAGTTGTGGAAAAAAGTTTGAAAAAAAAAATTTGGTAGGAAAAAAATTTCTTTTTTTTATAAGTTTACAAGGATCATCAATTGCGGTATTAGAGCTACTTTTAGACAAAGAGCAAATTCTATGGTTTTTATATTAAAATATTGTATTTGAAAATCAGTCAAACAAATAATTTACAACAATCTCAAATTTTACTATTGTTTAATACATCACAATCTGTTTTTAAAGACCGCATGAACAACACAAGATTCAAAAAAAGGTTATCTGAAGTGACGTACAATTAGTTTCACTCTTATAAAGCCACAATTTCCCAATTGATCAAATAAATAAAAATTATTTAATACTTTATATGTCTTTTTTCTAGTAAATTTCTTTTTTATAAATAGGCTGAAACATTGAAACAATGTTTCCATTCGGATTTAATGATCTTCATCGCATCTTGCCATATAAATTCCTTTTCATTTTACTTTGGTTACATGGATTACATTAACCCTGTCACAATGCCACAATGCCACAATTACATTTTTTTCCTAAAAAATTTAACTTTTTAGCGTAATAAAATAATAATTATACTGTTACAATTAATAAATTAACCGGGAGTTATAATTATATTGCATAAAATAGTGTGTTTTAGCTTTGTATTTCGTTTCTTAGTTATTCGAAACCTTATTGTTATGAATCTACAAAATGTTCGACTGTTCGAAGTTACGATGGGTATTTTCTTTTCTTAAAAAAAAAAAAAAGGTCTTTAATGCATTATTTACCTTTTACAAGCAACTTTAATTGAGCGTTAATGCGGTTAGCATGAATAATGTAATTGTTTATTTCCAAATTTCACTCATATATTCCATTATTCCGATTTACGTTTTGTTTTTAGAAATTTGTACCCATTTTTAAATATTATTCTAAACTTAGTTTATCAAATCTGCAGTCTCAAAACAAAACAAATCGAATTATTGATAAGTAAAATTTTTATTCGCAGAGTAAATGCGGTGACTAATTAAATTTTGTCTAACTTACTAGATTAGGTAAACAATCCGTGATCTATTAATAATTTTCTTATTTTTAGTTTTTATTATGCATTTATGCCTTTCTTACATAACATTATATATACTATATATAGTTTGAACTACATTGATCACTTAATTCCGGCCAGATTAATTATAATTATACTAGATTTAAATTTTTCAGAGCAAAAATCTGAGTAGCTACTTGAAATTTAAAAAAAAAATTTTAAAAACAATTTGTAAACAATAAATGTATACACACTTATTAATAAATAATACAATTATTTTATTTATTAAAAAGTAAAAAAAGGGTAAATTTATTCATCACCTATTCTAATGTATTGCCCTCTGAGCAAAATCATGTAATTCCAGCCAAAATTAATACATACATCTAGCAAAAATAATAATAGTAAGAAGATTATACTTAATTGAATGATTATTTAAAGAAAATAAAAAAAAGTAATTTTAAATATTGATATTATTTCTATTTTATCACCCAAAATAACTTCCATTACAATTAAATCTATTTATAAAGCTGTTAACTTTTTTTTAAAGAAAAATTTTGGAAAATTTTAATTGAACTGAAATTTTTTTGCATTTATAAAGGCAATACAACTATTTATTATTCTAAATGTTATACTAAACAAATTCTTTCTTTTTATTTAAAATATGTGTCTAACTAAATAATTTTCTAGACTATTAATGAGCTTATTATTATTACAATAAATATATAAAATAATAAGTTTTATAATGTTTAAAATGGTATAAAAATTTATTTTTCAATAATAAGTTTTTTGTTCACTTTAAAGTTGGATTTTAAATTTTAATAACAATTTTAAATTTTTTTAAAGTAATATATTAAAAAAATAGTATAAATCATCAATATAATGCTAAATGAAAAATGAAATATATATATATATATATATAAATTAATATTTAATTTATTAATAATTATTAAAAAGAAAGTTTTACTTTAAAAAAAATATTTTTTAATCTTACATCTAACACCTTTTTTATTTTAATTTTTAATTAATTTATTTAAATACTTCTTTTAAATTATTAATCTTCTTATTAAATTGAATTTAAATCTATTTGTAATTAATTTGATTTTAGAAAGTCTAAAAAAAATAGTATATAATATTAAATTCTAAATTCATTATATATAAATTTAAATTCAATAATAAAGCATATATAAATCATTAAAAAAATATAAATTTAGATATTTTATTAAGGAATATGTTTTTTTTTGCACCTGCGATATGTCGTATCTCCCTTTTTTGGTAATTTTTATATATTAATTATGTTGATCATTTTTATCACATGACTTCGTTAAGATTTTCTATTTTTTAAAAAATCCTTGCGTGAGACCTTATGCACTTACTATATACTATAAGAAACCTTATACTATATATATTTTTGACTGTTCTACAAGTTTTCTTAATATATCAAAAAGGATTTAGAATGTCATTTTTGACTTTTATATGTAACATATTATAGGGGTGCGACATAACGCAGGTGCAATAAAAAATAAAACCCTTTTATTAAAATAAAAAATAAAGTATCTAAGACTAAAAAGTAAAAAAAATAAATCAATATACTAAATGTTTGAATTTTAGATTTAATTTTATATAATAGTATCATTATTTTAGAATAATGTTCATGAAATGACTTTATATGATATTCCTTCCATCTGGTTCTAATTTAATATTCTTTCGCATCTTTAAAAAGTGGAATCACATGATTATCATAAAAACTAAAAGTCAGAAAAAATATGTAATAGTTATCTTAACAATAAGGCTATAGAATTAAGAAGTTTAGATTACTTCTTTAAAAGATCTTCCAGTCTGATGATAATTAAAAATATACCTGAAATTATCACTGATTAAAAACTAATATATTGATAGCAGATATGTATCAGATTCAATATATGTAGTAAAAATGCAGAAAATCAGGTACCTGATATGTGTAAAATATATGTAAATATATATATCATATATATATCAATACCCAATATATATATAATATATAGATGATACTTTACAGAAACTTTAAGTTTTCAAGCGATATCATTTTGATATCATTTTGATATCAAAACAATACCGTTAAGATAAACTTAATGATATCAATTTTATATTGATTAAAAATGTTAAGTTTCTGTAAAGTATATAAATAATATGTATATTTACATATATTTTACATATATCAGATATCTGATTTTTTGCATTTTTACTACACATATCTGATACAGATCTGCTACCTAATATACATATGAGTTGATTTATGGAATTAAGTTTTTATATTCAAAAAACTAACTTTATTAAGTAAATGCAAATACAAGTTATATGAAAATGATAGATTCGCACCAGCTGATATAAATAAAATTGATTTAATTATATTATTTTTTGATTTTTTTTAATAATATCATTAAAATTAAAAAATTTAAATATAATTGTCATGACAAAATATTGAATAACTTAACGTGTATGTGTGTTAGATGAATGAATTTATATTCATTAGAAAGAGGTAATCAAGAGCTATCTATAAACCAAATATCGCATGAATTGAATCACAAGTTGCTAAATAATTATGTTCAATATATTTATTTTTAACTTTTGACTTTGATCGTTAATATCTTCACATATAGTGATTCAATTTAAATGATCTTTTTTCATTCAGAAAGAGTAGGTTCTGGGCTTTTATATGAATATAAATATATGTGTTTAGCATGCATGTATGCCGAGATATTAACAATTTGTTAATTGAATAAAACTCTGATACAAAAATTATAATTCTTACCAAAAGATGATCTTTACAGGTATTATTGAGCTCTTTTTACTTTACTTAATAAGGTTTTATTTGCTATTTCTGTTTTAAATTGAATAAATTAATAAAATCAATTTTAAAAAGTAATTAACAAGTAGAATAAAATCAGTATAGTAAAAAACAAAAAAAACATCTCAAAAACTCTAAATTATAACTCACATTTTTATTTTGTATATATTTTTACTAAAAAAAAGAAGGAACTAAGGTTAAAAATAAATGAAAAAAGATTTTTCTTATTAATATAAACTATTAATATTTGTTTCTTACTTACTGATTAAAAAAAACCTGCTATATATACCTATAAACTTTTCTAAATCACCTAATAAAAATCTGATTGAAAAGTGATTGAAAAGTAATTGAAAAAGAAAGTAGTTGCCATTGTTATTTTTGAATAAACATTAAAAATTTTTTTTTATGATAGATTTAGATCATCTGATTATGTAACACATATAATTTAGGCTTGTGAAACATAATTCTTGTTAAAATATGCAAATCTTTATAAAAATCTTAATTTTGGCTAATTTCATGAATTGGTGGATATAATTAGTTTTTGACTAATGTATAACTATCTTGATGCTATATTTTGAGAATCCTTTCCAATTACTAATTAATATTTATATATGACTCTGAATATTACATATACAACTCAGAGAGTAACTTTTTAGCAAATTGGCCTAAATTTCAAAAAAAAAATCACATTTTTTGCAATTATCTTGGCATATAGTGGTCTAATTTATGCGAACTTTTTTCATTTTGTAGCCCTCATCAAGCTCTACAAAATAAAAAAAATCTATATGAATCGGATTACTGGATGCTGAGATAATCGCAAAAAACTGAAAATAAAAAAAGAGTAAATTAGGTTTTTTTTGGCAAAAAGTCAGTTGTAAATTCTATAAAAGATGTCTGAGGTCCTATCCATATAAAATGCAAAGTTTTTAAGGTAGTTCAAGAAAAATACATGCGAGTTGATCATATACTATGAAAGTTAAATTAATTTAAATAAGATTATTGGTATAACGATTAATATTATTAGTATTTTTTTTTGTAACTATTTAAAGATTGTAACAGACTATCAAAAAGTAGCTGTAATAAGACTTCACTTACTTATAATAAAGGTTACTATAGGAAATTAACCTTTTATTAATGATTTTTACTTTACTTTTTTCTTAAATTCTATTAATTAATTAGCTAAAAAAGAAAAAAATCATAACAATATAACATAAAATTTTCTTTTATAGTAAAATCTGCAAAGAATTTTATATATAATTTTTATCTTAGGCCTGAAGGTGATCTATCTTATAAGTAAACAAAATTCTGCTATAATAACTACTGTAATTAAAAATAGAACTAAGATACGACTTACAAGGTTTTGCAGAAACAGAGTTTAAGTAATAAGAAGTAGAAAAGCAAGTCTTTTGAAAATAATAAAATTTTGAAAATAATGAATAAAAAATTGAATGGTACTTAAAGATGTTAGTCATAATTAAGGTTGCTTGCCGAAACCTAGGGGTTTAGGTAAGATGGCGTTTCGCCAAAAAGTGAAATTCTGCCAAAACTATATTAAAGTTATATTAAAAAACTGGCAAAATTTTAGAGAAAGGCAAAACTGCCAAAACTTATTATAAATGCCAAAGCTGCCAAAACTCTGCCAAAACTATAATAAATCTATGGTAAAATTTTGACGAAACTAATCGTAGGATTTTGAAAAGGTTTAGACAAGCAACCTTAGTCATAATATCATAATACAAAAATTTTATATGTTGTAATAGGTTGCAACTTATTAAAACATATGTAATAATAGGGTTGATAATTAAAGCTAATATTTTTAATGGTACTGGCAAATTAACTTTATTAGCAAAAATTATATTATTACTAAAAAGACTTAAGAACTGATAGGAAGATTGCTCAGTTTTAGAGAACTTAGAGAACTATAAGTAAAACTAATAGAATACTATAGTGATTACTTTATATCTAAATTACACTAATTTTTTTTTAGTTTTTCTTTTTTTAATTATTAATTTTACTTTAAATTTATTTTATTACTCCTTATTTTTTATTTTTTTTTATTTTAGATTTTATTTTGCAATTACAATAAGTTTTAAGAAGCATTTATAGGTATAGACTAGAGAAAAGAAAACCTTTCTAAGAAAGAATTATTTCATATGAAGCTTATTCCTCTAGCTAGAATTTTTTTCTAACAGTGCACATATAGTTACTTTATTATAAATTAACAAGTAGTTTGATTTTTATTAAATTAATAAATTTCTTTATATATTTTATTACTTTTATTTAATAAAGAATTAAATATGCTGCAGGTAACATAAAAAAAATAATTAAAAATCTATAAAAATTTAAAAAATATTATGGAATATTTGAATTTTGAATTTGTTTTTTAATTTTAAATATTTAAACTATTTTAATTTTGTTAAATAATTAAATATTTTAGTTTTACTTAATATCATTATTCCAAATAATTTAAATATTAATTAACAGTTATATGAAAAATTTGCAATTATTGTTTAAGTAAAAGTTATAATATTAAATTTTGTATAAATATAAAACTGATAAAGAAAATAGGGTATTGCTAAATATTACCAGTGATCACATGTAAAATATTTTTTGAATTTTCAAAAATTTTTGACTGAGATATTATTCTAATTATAATATAAATATCATTACTATATGTAAATTTATGGGTAGAACAAGTTTGCCTTAGATTATAAAGGCTGTTATTTAGATAGTTTTTGAGAAAAATAGAAAAGTTTGATTTTATAAGCAAAATACAATTTTTTGTTTTAAAAAAGATTTTTTTTAGTCAAATTTTCAAAATTTTAGTGTGATTAGTATCTATTCAGGTTTGTTTTACACATTTATTATTTAAATTGAAATTTTTGAAAAAAAATTTACAATGTGTTTTTTAACTCTGGCCAAAATTATAAATTTCGGCCAGAATTAAGTGGTGTGGTGACTAAAGATGTTAGCCGTAATTGATTGGCCGATGCCGTAATATTACAGCATACAGCATTACAGTTATGACACTTTTCGTAATACTGTAATTAGGCCGTAATGCTGTAATTGGGTTGTAATGCTGTAATTAGATCGCAATGCTATAATTAGGCTGTAATGTCGTAATTTTTAATGGCATAAAAATTTAAAATAAAAGTAATGAATTATAAAAGTAAATTACAATAGTTTATATGTCGTGTAATTTTAATTTTTAGGGGGTACATAAGACGCGTCGTGTTTTTTTTTGTATTTTGTATACGCGTTCGTGTAAAGAAAAAAATTATATAATGACCTAAAATCCCTAGGGGTGGGTGGTCGGGAGTGGAAGGTGGGAAATATTAAGTTTTTTTCAAAAAATTTATATTAAATTAGCATAATATCCTTAATAATTAGATGATTTTATGCATAATTTACATATAAACTTTTTTACAAAAAAAAAAATTATTATTATTATTATTTTTGATATTATTTACCCCTTAAAATTGAAATTACACGGTCACATATTTCCTAAAATCCGAAATCCGAAATCCGAAATATAATTCCGGCCGAAATTAACGTAATTTCACTTAAACATGTAATTTCAGCCGAAAATCATAATTCAGCCAAAACGGGAATGCAGATCTTTCCTTTTTTGGCGATAGCCGTTCCACAAAAATTGATTTTGGTGGGAACGACACTGGAATTTTGTGTAACAACACTTTCCTTTTTAGGATATTTGTTAATTTCTGCTAAAATTAAGTGCATAATTCTGGCCGAAATTACATACGTAATTTCGGAATTACGGCATTACGGATTAGTTACGGCATTAAGACCTAATTACAGTATTACGACCTAATTATGGCATTACAACCTAATTACAGCATTACAACTTTTGCTTTTTAATGTAGATAGGTTGCAACCTATTACATACGACACTGTGTCTTAATATTACAGTTACGGCTAACATCTTTAGTGGTGACGATCACCACTGGTGATATTTGATATTTAGCAATACCCAAGAAAATAATAGAATTTATTATTGTATTTTAATTTTAATATTTTGATTTATTTACATATAAAATTAATTTTAATCCAATGTGATTTAACTAAATTGATTTAATTTGGTAAATTTATATGAAACTTTATTAATTATAAAATTATATGTTTTAAACTTTAATCTTTTAACAAGTATATTTTTTTAGTTTTATTTATTTATTCATCTCTTATTAATTAACTCTTTTTTTTGTAAGTTCTTTGATATCTTAATATAATAGATATTAGATAATATTTTAGAAAAAAAAATTAAATAACATCTTATATATAAATAAAATTAAACATTTTTGAAATCGAAAAAAACTCTTTCCTGTACCGTTCATGTCCATTTTTCATACAAGAAATATTATGCTTTTTTCTCGTTAAATTACTAGAAAAATAGCACTCCAGTATTAAGACAAAAGTGTTCCTTGGTTTAAACAACACACTTTTTATTATCACTCTTTTCAGTTCGAACAAGTTCACAAGGGCTTAATAGTCCTTTAAAGACATAAAAATTTTGTTTTCTTGCAAAATTTTCTCAAAAGAAGGCGTAAATACGGTGCACCAATCAGATAAAAGATGCCGAATAAAGAAATTTTTATCGGCTATACTTTTTTCCGTTCAGAAAAAGTGAAACGGTATACAGAGGACCCCGGATATCTAATATAAAGGTCATAATGGACTTTTGGCCAAAAACACCCCTTTTTGCTGAAACTCAAAAAATCGTTTTTTGTAAATATCTCAGCATCCAGTAATTCAATTTTAATGAACTTTTTTTTATTTTGTAGCCCTCATTTAGCTCTACAATTTAAAAAAAAGTTCATCAAAATTGGACCACTAGATGCCGAGATATTTACAAAAAACGATTTTTTGAGCCCCTGAAAAATGGGCCAATCTGCCGAAAGTGTGACTTATGACCTGTTTTGGAGATATCCGGAGTCCTGTACACAGGGGCTGATACGATATACTCTACCTGAAAAGGAAAGTCCTACATCCTTTTACATGTAGATTCGTTACAGAAAGAGAAAGATATATTGACGATTGTTACCAACAATAGACATATAATAAAGAAATATGATAAGCCTTATTTGATTAATTCGGATCAGCCTATGATGAATACTAAATACAGGATTTCAAAATACTTGACGAATGTATTTTGTGGGTTACCTATTGATATAGAAACTAGAAACAAGTATTTTTTAAGAATACGTCAATTATTATTGGATAAACTTGTAGTTATTGAAAATAGATTGAAGAAACAAGAAAAGAATAGACAAACTACAACTTATATTAAATTCAGTCATGGTAGACGAACATGGTATTTGGGGTTCTACATCCCATGTTCATTTTGTAGTAATGTCTGTGCTTATGTAATGTCAAACAATAGAAAAGTATGCCAAAATTGTCGTTCTAAAGTGATAGTAACACCTACACCTCCCACGCGAAATACGTTTAAAAATTATTGTTAAAGTAAACAAATAGTAAGTAAACGCATTGGCATTACTTATACAAAAAAGGTTTCAATGGATAGTGGCACAGGTAACTATTTAGTTACATACTCAAATTTGGGTATTAACAAACAGTTCAAGATGATGAAAGAACAAGAGAAGTATAAAAAGAGGTTTACGAATAGCCTCAAAACTCATAAGAATAAATGGAATTACACTAATAATAGATTTGAGTCAAAGCCAGTAGTTTCTAAACATCAATTGAAACGAAGATGTGATATTCTTAAGAAACAGTATATATCTAACAAGGAATTGGAGTTTCTGTTAGACCAAGTTACAAGTAGATCAGGATACAACATGTTGAAAGAAGATATTTTTATTAACCATTCCTTCAACAGTGAATATTTTCTGGAATTAAGAAAGAAAAAAGAAGCCACTTTTGAACGCGAAAATATTAAGGTGGCCGAACAATCGACCAGTACTAGTAAGAATATTATGGTCAATGATATTACCACAAGTTTTCAAGAGCTAGAAATTAGAGAACAGGATAACGTGCTTCCCTGGCAAGAAATACTACGTAGACAAATACCGATTACCAGGCCTGAATTAGATCTTAAAACTCTAACGACATATCGTAATGGAATGAAAAGAAAAAGACTTGTTTATAATTTGTCTCATAATTATGTTATTGATCAGTGTGATACAAAAGCTCGTAAGATAAAGAGCGTCTCGTGGTATTAAGAAGGTACGAATAAGTAATTAGTTATTTTTGTTTTGTTTTTCTATTTTCTTTTGTGGGATGACTAATTACGAAGAAACAAATTATCAAAAGGAAAAAAATGAATAATTATTTTAGGATTTTAAATCATTCCTTATCTGATAATATTTACATAAGGCTATTTGGTTAGAAAGAAAAATATATAGACAGATTGTCTATTGAATTTATTTTTAGTTTCACACCATTCCATATTTGATTATATTTACATATGGCAAATTTTATTTGAAAGAAAAATATATAGACTTCTTTCAGTTGTTTTAAAGAATTAATTATATATAGTATTCATCATTCTGTATTCGATAGTATGTACATACAGCTTTTTTAATAAAGAAAGAATCATACATGCACGTTATTTATAACGTGTAGACGAGTAAAAATTTTTTTAGCTACAATTATACTGGAGTATTCAAGAGATGATATAGATATACAAGAATTAAAAGTTAAAATTAATGAGCTTGGTATGTGGGATATTAGACGCTTATATGATTTTACATTTTTAATGAAGAATCAAGTTAGTTGTCAGTTAATAGAATTATTAAGGTGCTATAAAATAACTGAAGAAAAATTGTTGTATAAGGTACTGAAACAAATAACTGGGAGAGTATTATTAGAATTCAAAGTGCTTATTTGGGAATCAAGGAACGAGTTACAAATAAAGGAAGAAAAGCGGTGCGGTATTAGTGTTAAAGATAAAAAAGTTAAGTCATATAGTAAACGCACTGAAGTGGGTGTTAAAAATGTTGGCTGTAATATGTTAGAAAGTAATTGGAATAAATGGAATGATTTAGCATTCCATCGTGGCGGTCATTGGGCAAATTTTTAGGTAGATCATGACAGTCACCTTTGAATTTGAGGTCGCATCATGGTTTTTAACAATGATGTGATCATTTAGGTGACAGGTCGACTTGTTCTTTATGAAAAGTAGTCTTGTTTCATAATGCTTAATTCTTATATGTATTTGTTTATCTTATATTTTGTAAGTTTATATATGTAAGTAAGCGTGATTATAATAGGACATGATCGCATCTATAATAAAGTTTTAAAAAAAAAAAAATAAAATAAAATAAAATAAAATTAAACATTTTTATTAATTAAAGAGTTTTATTAATTTACTCCTTAAGTTAAATAATCTGGATTAAATTATTTTCTTAAAATTTATATTTTACATCAATCATTTTTTTTTTTTAAAAAAAAAAACAATGTTTCTTGTAATTATAATTTACATTTTTTTAAAAAAAAATTTGGATAAAATTATAAAATTTATTAATAAGTTAAATTATTTTAATTAAATCATTTTAGATTAAAATTAGTCTTATACATAATTAAATAATATTAATTAAAAACTTATTTAAAGGTAGAAAAAGTAAAATTTTTTATAAAACTAATATTAAATAGAAGTTTACTATTTACTATTTAGTGATCATTGTCTGTATCATATGATTTTTTAATTTTAGTTAGAATTAAATAATTAATATAAAAAATTGCTTTTTTTATATCTGTTTTTATGAGAAATAAATTTTTTTTTTGAATTATATAATATTACTCAAATTTCCAAAAAAGAAAATTTAGCCAAAATTATAAAATTTGGCTGAAATTATAGAATGTACAATACAGAATTTTTATAATAGGAATTTAAAAAAAATTTAAATAAAATTTGATTTTATAACTAAATTTTAATTTTATAAAAAAAATTAAATTCTATTTGTTAAAGAAATTGATTTATAAAATAAAAAAAAAGTCTTAATTTTTTAAATTATATAAGTATCATGTGATATATATATTAGCTAATTAGAAATTAGGATTTTATAAATTATATGATATAAAAATTTATATAATATATTTATTTAGATCATTTTAACATTCACTAAAGGTTAAATTTATTGGAAGTGAATTTTACTATATCACGTAATATTTATTATATTAAAATTTAGCTAAGTAGATCAGTAAAATTTATCGTATCACATAATTTCAAATTTTTTTGTATTTAAATAAAAATATGTAAAAAAAAAGTTTTTTTTAATAATCATTTAAGCATGAACTTTTAAAGTTTATTAACAAAAAGTTTCTTTTTAAATTACATAATTTTAATTAGATTATTACACTATCTACTAATCATTTAATCCAAATTTTTTATTAATATAAACTTATAGTAATATATAAGAAAATTATCAATTAATAATATACAATTAATAATTTTATGATGGAAAAAAAATAAATATGTAAAAAAAAAATGAAGTGTATAATGAACAATCATGGAAAGTAAATTAGAAGGATAATGTGAAAAAATAAAATTAAAGTAAAGGGATAATGAAAATAAAATAAGAGTGAAGGAATAAAAATGAAATAGAATAATGAAAAACAAAATAAGAATAAAATGGACTGAATAATGTAAAATAAAATAAAATAATGAAAAATGAAATGAAAGCAAAAGGAATAATAAAAAATAAAATGAAAGTGAAATAGGATGATAAAAACAAAATAGAAATAAAATGGAATGATTAAAACAAAATGGAATGATATAAATGAAATAAGATGACAAAATGAAATGGATGATAAAAATAAAATGAGATAATAAAAAATAAAATGAAAAGAATGAAAGATATGAAAAACAAAATGGAGTAATGAAAATGAAATGGAATAATGTAAAACAAAATAGAATAATAGAAAATAAAATAGGATTGAAGAAAATAATAAAAAAATAAAATAGGAGTGAAATAGGATGATAAAAATAAAATAGAAATAAAATGAAATAATATAAAGTGAATTGAGATGATGAAAAACAAAATGTAATAATGAAAAATAAAATGGAGTAATGAAAAATGAAATGGAACAATGAAAATAAAATAAAGTAATAAAAATAATAAAAATGAAATGAAATAATGGAAAATAAAATAAAGTGATGGAAAATAAAATGCGAGTAAAAGGAATAATAATAAATGAAATAAGAGTGAAAAAAATAATGAAAAACAAAATAAGAGCAAAAAGAATGATAGAAAAATAAAATGGAAGCAAAGAGGATAATGAAATAATAAAAAATAAAAGAAACAAAAAAATAATAGAAAATAAATGAAAAGGAAGTGAAATGAATATAGAAAATAAAAAGGAAATAAAATGAATGATAGAAAATAAATAAAACTGTTAGTATTATTTTCAATAAAAAAAAAAATAAAATAGCAAAATATTAGTAATTAAAGGTGAGTTTTAACTTAAACTTCTTAAGTTATTATTTTCTGAAAAATAAAATAGCATAAAAGAAAAAGAATATTAAACTAGTGAAGTAATAAGAAAATAAATAATTTTACTAAATAATACTATAAAAAAGTAGAAAATAAAATATGTGTTATGTGTTTGTATAAAAATATATAATATGGTGAATTTTATCAAAGTAAATTTAAAATTTTAATGCATTGCAGATCAAAGTAAAATTTACCTTAGTAAAATTTACCAGAGGTAAATGTAAAATTAATTTTATTTATTTATTATATTTCATTATAAATTGATGAATTTAGATACATAATAATGAGATTTATATTTTATTATATGCATTTTTTGATATATAATCATTATTTATAACATTAAATTGATCTATACTTAAATTATTTTGTTCATTAAATTTTTTTTTTTTTGCAGTTTTAGAATTTTTTTTTCTTCTTAACATATTGAAAAAAAAATCTGAAATATAATAATAATTAATTGTAGTTAAAAAAATCTGTGATGTAAAAATTTAGATTAGTCTCAATTTTAACTAAATTTGATTAGTATATTTAAATTACAGATTTTTAAATAGTTAAAATTTAGCTAAAATTTAATTTAGAAAAAAAATAACTGATAATTTTTAAAGCTAATGATCATATCTATAAAAATTATCAGTTAAATTTTTTACTTTAACATAAAAAATTTTTTTTATAGAAATTTATAATCAATTAATTGTTACTATATATAAGTAATTAAGTATAGAAGTTTTATATTATAAAAAATTTTTGTCTTTATTAAAAATATATAGTAAAATAAAAATAAGGAGAGTATATATGGAATGACAAATTATATATTATTAAAAAATTACATACTACCAGTGATGATTATTTTTAGCAATATATAGTAATTTATATTAAATAAAGATAATTTTAACACTTATCTTAAGTAAAAATTACCTGATCATATGATTTTTAAAATTTATATATGTAAAGTAAAACTGATTTTTTAATAAATTATATTAACTAAAATTGCTAATAAATTGCAAATTTTCTTCTTTACTTTATTAAAGTATTATAAAATTTGATAGCTAAAATGCAAGAAAAACTCAAAAATTAGTACTATTATAAAAAATACAGATATCTTTACAAGTATTATACTTACATAAGGTTGCTTGCTAAAACCTAGGGGTTTAGGCAAGATGGCGTTTCGCCGAAAAGCGAAATTCTGCCAAAACTATATTAAAGTTATATTAAAAAACTGGCGAAACTTTGGAAAAAGACGAAACTGCTGAAACTTATTATAAATGCTGAAACTGCTGAAACTCTGCCAAAACTATAATAAATCTATAGTAAAATTTTGACGAAACTAATCATAGGATTTTGAAGAGGTTTAGACAAGCAACCTTATACTTACATTTATGAAAATTAAAATGTAAGTGTTTTTCACCTTGCTGAACAATTTTTCACTTAATAAAGAAAGTTGATTTTATTTGAGTAAAGTAGTGAAATTACGCTCTAAATTTAATAAACAAAAAATGAAAATTTAAAAATTATTACTATTATATAAACGCAAATATTTTCACAAGTATTATACTTACATTCATGAAATTTAAAATATAAGTAGTTTCAATATTGCTAAATAACTATTGCTTAATAAAGAAAGTTAATCTTATTTGACTAAAGTAGTGAAATTACGCTCTGAAGTTAATAAACAGAAAAATGAAAAATTTAAAATTATTGTTATTATAAAAAATATGAATATTTCCATAAGTATTATACTTATGCTTATGATATTTAAGATATAAGTAGATTTGATATCACTGAACAACTTTTAATTAATAAAAGAAGTCAATTTCATTTGACTAAAGTAGTGAAATTATGCTCTAAAGTTAACAAAAGGAAAAATAAAAAATTTAAAAATTATTGTTATTATAAAAAACACAAATATTTCTACAAGTATTATACTATGCTTATGATATTTAAGAAATAAGTAGTTTCAACATTGCCAAACAACTTTTTGCTTAATAAAGGAAGTTGATTTCATTTGATTAAAATAGTGAAATTACGCTCTGAAGTTAGAAAATATAACACAAAAGAAATTTAGAAATAAATAGGACCCCGGATATCTAATATAAAGGTCATAATGGACTTTTGGCCAAAAATACCCCTTTTTGCTGAAACTCAAAAAATCGTTTTTTGTAAATATCTCAGCATCCAGTAATTCAATTTTAATGAACTTTTTTTTATTTTGTAGCCCTCATTTAGCTCTACAATTTAAAAAAAAGTTCATCAAAATTGGACCACTGGATGCCGAGATATTTACAAAAAACGATTTTTTGAGCCCCTGAAAAATGGGCCAATCTGCCGAAAGTGTGACTTATGACCTGTTTTGGAGATATCCGGGGTCCTAAATAAATATTATATTATGAATTATATAAAATACCTGTAGCTTTACAAGAAAACTGAGTCAAAATGTTTAATATGTGTTAATAACAAAGCTTTTAAAATTTTTTTAAAAAAGAATTTTTTTTTTATAATTATAATATAATAAATAAATAAATAAAAAATTGTAAAATGTAACACAAATTAAAAGGATGAATTTCACCTGAGGTGATTAAAATTAAAAAATAACCTAGAGTGAATTTTAAATTAATTTTTTAATTAAATATTTTATAATTTTATTAGTAATATAATCTTTAAATAAAATAACAAATAATTTATTATGAAATTTAAAGCAATTTGATTAGTATATTAGTAATATAATATCTAAAGTAAAATATTAAATCAATACTAAATTTAAAAGTAAAATAAAATAATCACTTTTAAAATTTAATTGAATTGTAATTTTTAAAATTTTTATTAATTTTTTACTATTTTATATTAAAGAAAAATTTTATTTAATTAAAAAATAAATTAGTTTTAAAAATAATAATTATAGTTTTTTTACCAAATTTTCTATAGTAATATCTTTAAGTGTATATTCTATAAATGCATATATTATATAAATTCTTTTTAAGTATATGTAAAGATGGAAAATGGTCTTTTGGTTTTTTTCAGTCTTTGAAAATTTTTCAGAAAAGTAATAAGACTATACATTCAATTTTTTGTAATTTAGTAAAATTGGCTAAAGACTAAAATTTGGCCTTTATCTTAATTTTTTTAAGACCAGTAGAGATCAAATTAGCTTAAAAACTGCAGTCTTAGGATTTTTGTCATAAAAACCTATAAAAACCTATTTAATTCTAAATTGGCTGATTGAATTAAACCCAAATTTTACCACATTTTGGTCTTTAACTAATTCTGTAATATAATAAAAATTTGGATGTGTAGTTTTATTACTTTTCAAAAAACCTTTAAAACCTGTTAGGACTGGATAAGTCTAAAAAAAGACCATTTACTATCTCTAAGTATATGGTAAACTTGATTCTAATTTATAAGAGTTCTTAATATTTTATTTTCTATAAATGCAAGTATACATTTTACTATTTTTTTACTATAGTTTTCAGAGGAGTGTATTTAGAAAGGTGTTATTGTATTTTAAATGAATTATAATCTTTAAAATATAAAATTATTCTTTATTTTTAAATTTTTTTTTGATTTATTACAAGTTTAAATTTCCTATTATATTTATTTATACACATATTATTTACATTAATAGTACAAGATTCTGATATATAAGTTATATCAAATTTACCTTTTTTTTGTTAAAATTTCAAAAAATTTTTTTTTTGCAAATAAATTTCTTAGCATCCAGTACTTTTCTGAAAATTTATTAAAAAATATTATGACCAGTAGTCTATTTTTAGTTTAATGAGAGTTACAAAATAACAAAATAAAAAAAAAGTTTATTTAAAATTGGATCACTGAATATAAGTTTTAAAGATATTTGAAGTCTTATTGCAAAGGATATTTTGTATAAGTTATAATTTTACAGTTAACTTTTTAATTATTAAAAGAATTATTAATTGTTTAATATATAAGTTTTAAACTAAAAAAAGTTAAAGTAATACTATAATGCATTTTTGTTTGTTACTTTTTGAAAAAATAATTTAGGTTTTTAATTTAGGTTTTTACTTCCTGTTTTATTTTCTATGAATTGAAAATTTTTTAACAAATTTGTTACTAATATAACTAATTTTATATTCGTAAAAAGCTGTTTTACTTGATAAATTTTGAAACGTAACAATGTTGATCTCTAGATCATGACTATAATTTACATGATTAAAAATTGATTTGCGAAGAATTGTTGCACAAAGAAATTTTTTTTTTTTTTGATTAATAATTACGGAGAACTAATTAAAAAGGTAAATTTTTAATATTCCAAAGAAAAAAAAACAATTGCACAGGCAAAAGTTTTTCGCAAATTAAAAATTTTGATACTTATATGTGGCGCAGTATTTGCATGTCAGATAAAGTTTCGTACAAATTTGTAACCCATTACAAGATAACGAACATAAATGTTTTACGCCCACGTGAAACTTTGAAGGAATTTATATACTATCATGGTTTTAAGCTTAATCAAAATACGAGATAAACTTTAAAGGTACACTATCATTAATCGTACAGTTCGTTTAACACGCATGACACAATTTATATTTACAAAGGAATTTTATAAATTTTATAAGTGATATGTATATACATCAAGTATATATATTGTATTAAAATTCAAAAATCAAAATGAAAAAAAAGATTTAATGAAAAAGATAATAGAAAAAAAAGCTTACAACCTCTATATATTACGGAATGGAAAAAAGAAAAGATGAGAAAATAAATTAAACTTATAAACATAATTGTGTTCAAAGATGTGACATGAAAAGGGATGATGCAAAAAAAAAAATTAGGGGAAGAGAAAAAAAAATAACTACAAAGATGTTACAGAAAAAAAAAAAATTTGTGATTAGCGCGACGATGACCGTTTTATTTGTGAAATGATCCCCTACCGTAATATTATTATGATTTTTTTTTTTTTAAATCTAAATGAAATTCTAAGATTTTTTTTTTTTAGTTTTTTGTTTTTTTTGTAGGGATTTAAGCCCACGGTCGTAAAGGAAATTAAAAATTATTTTTTTTTTCTATATCTCTAAAATTAAAAATATTATAAACCAAATAATATAGCTTAAAGAGGAACTTCATGTAATGAAGACACTTCAGCTGATTTTTTTGAAGGTATAATTAATTGATTTGGATTAAAAGTTTCATTTTGTTCAACATCAGTTACATCAGGCAAAGTTAAGGTAGAGCCATTAACTAATTTAGTAGGGGGCAAAGGAAAAGCCAAATTATCACCAATTTCATCTTGTTTCTGTTGTTGATGATGATTGTGTTGATTGTGTTGATTTGATGAAGAATCATTGCTCTGACTGAACGGTCCACTTTGAGGTAACACAACTTTGAGAGACATACGATGATCAGCAGGTAAACCACTTTGTAATAATAATTCAGGTACTCCACCTTTTTCTAATTCGTCGGAAGAATTATTTTGTATAGTTATGATTGGTTGTGGTACCGAAGAAACATAAAATGATTTTCTGTCATTACTTTTATTACTATTATATGAATCTCTAGGATAACTCCTTTTAATCCATTTAGTTTTTTCTTTAGTTTCCTTTATTAATTGCCAACTAATAAATGCGGTTATCAAATATGTACCAAATATAAGCCATCCGAAAATTAAGCTTGTTACCCATACATTGCATATAAATTTTTTCGGTGGATCATTCTCCATGGAATGTGATTTACAATTTAAATCATTTGTTCCTTTAAATACCGGATCAAGGTTCGATAATCCTAAAACAAAAAAAAAAAAGGATATTTTTAGTTAATAATGGAGAAAAATTTGAGATTTTTTTAGATATTTTTAATTAAGCGGAAATTATGTAATTACCGGCCGATAACCATAACGCAGCAAATATACTATAAAAATAGAAACAAATAAATTAAATAAATAAAATTTTTTTTTTTTAGGGAAAAAAAGTCAAATTTGAAAGTAAAAAATACAAACATTTCGACCCAAACACTAAAGCCCTTTTCCCAATGTTTTTTAAATGAAACCAAATTATAAACTAGAAAATAAAAATTAAAGTAAAATATAAGTTAAATATTATATTGGATATACAAAGAAGAAAAGAAAATATTTTGGTTTATTTGCAATTTTTTTATTTATTTTAACTTACCAAGATTTAATATCGTTAAACTGCATACAACGAGCAACCAAATTTTAAATTCGCCGTTGGAACTTTTTAAAATAAAAGAAAGAAAATTAAAAAATTTAATGAATTTTTTTTAATTTTCGAAATTTTTTTAATAAAGAATTTAAAGAATTTAATGAATTTTTTACTTACTCTCCTTCTTTATCTGCTTTATCAAACCAATCATTGTATTGACCAGGCGAGATAGAATTATTACCATAAGTAACATATTGTGTTATTTCTTTTTAAAAGAAAAGGAAAAAAGAAAAAAGATTTTTTTTTTTTTAATTACGAATTTAAAAAAAAAAGCAAAAGAAGAAGGGATAAAAAAAAACATTATTAAAACTGCAACGAATGTATTTATATTTTTTTTTTTTTTTTATTATTGTAATATGTAATATAATCACCGAGAATTACATATCGGTTAAATAAAAAAGTCAAGCATATATTGTTACAATTATACAATTATAATTAAGTGAGAGGGATCTTTTTATTTTAATTATATGGTAAATATGGGAATTTGTACTACAATTAATTTAATTTTTATGTCAAAAAAAAATATTTTATATTATGAATGTCCGAGATTACACCATTTATTCTAACCAATAAAAATTCGGGACTAATTTTATTTATTTTTTAAGGAAGTAAAAAGTTTTTTACCACATGTTTAATAAGCTAAATATAAACGGCACCACTAATACAAACTACACGTGTGAGAAAGTCGTGTAACGTATTGTATTATTATTGTACTAGTCTCTTACATTTTGATCACCTGTTATATGAAACTTATATTATTACTCAAATCCCCATTAAAAAATCAAAAAATTGACATATTGAACATTAAAGTTTTCAATAAGTATAAAAAAGAAACTTTTTTTCTCTTTAAAGAAAAAAATTTTCTTTGTTCTAATCATAGTAAAACATAAGTAACAATATATATCTTTCCATTGTTATCTTGAGCGTTTTAGGTCAAGACATAAAATATATAAAAAAAGTTAGTCTTATCGAATTCGAATCTCAAATTTGGAATTATTTTCGCTCAACTTGTAAAAGTTTGTAAAAAAATATGTTTCATTTAAATAATGTATTCTATGATTATTATTATAAAGCTCAAAAGAATATTTCTTTAAAAAAAAAAAATGGGGTTTCAACTTTCAACTCTTGGCTGTTCATTGAAAATCCTTTCAGTTTCATGTAATTTTACAAAAGCCAAATACGTCAATATGCATATCATCCAATCATTTTTAAGAAATATAATTATATATATGTATACAGTATCTAAATCTTATAAATATCGGTTTATGCCGTAATTACATTTGAAATTTGACAAATTATTTATATTTATAACTCTTGTTTTTTAATTCGTGTGTGAATATAAACACTCATTTTAAATAAATCGATAATTTCAGTTATTGCTGCGCTTCAAGAATTATACTATATATAAATATGAAATATAAATAAAATGTTTGTTTTATTGATGATTAATATGCTAAAAAAAAAATGCAAATTATAATTATCTCCACAGAAATATTCTTTTTAAAAAAAATAGGGTAATCCATTTCCCCTAAACAATAATCATTAAATTAACTACTATAATTGCTATAATTGCTATAATAAACATTCATCTTTCGCCTTTAAAGAAAAAATACTAAAAAGTAATTAAAAAAAAATCAATGCAAAATAATATCAAAAATCATTCTAATTACAAAAAGTGTAAAATGTAACGCAAAAACTTCTAATTTATGAATGTAAAAAAAAAAAATTGTTCTGCAACTCTCAATCCCGATATCGATCCCAATGTCAATTTCAATTTCAATTTCAATTTCAATATTTCAATTATAATCTCAATTTCAAACTCAAGTATTAGCTAATTGAACCAACATTAAAGGTTTAATACCAGATTCTAACATTACAGGTTGAGATTTATCGGGATTTTCAAGACCTTGTTTGAACAAAACAGATTGTCTTTGACTCGTCCTATTCTTTACTTCAGGTTTTACAGTAGGTTTATGATAAATTCCTTTACGTTTTTCTTGCCCGACACGCCATGTCACAAATACTGATATAATTAGTAATATCATATTTAACCAACAAAATACTACGCTTGTTATCCATGTGCTACATATTGTTGTTAATGATGATGTTATTGCGGATGAACAAATTTGGGCTGGATTGCGTCCATATACAGGATCTAAATTTCCAATAGCTGATAAAATCCAAAAAGAAATTCATGTTAGAACGAGAAGTGTGGCGCAGCAATGTTAAAAGACTTAAAAAAGTAAAACGCTAACTTACCAGAAGTAAACCATAAAGCAGCCAAGAATCTATTATATATTAATAATAATAATTAAAAAAAAAAAAATTATGTAAATTTTCATCTTTAAAAAAAAAAGCACGATCTATGTAAAATTAAAAATACTAACAATTCAAGGCAAAGATAAGGTCCTTTATTCCAGATTTTCTTAAAATTAAAAACATAAGCACCTAAAAAAAAGAAAAATTAAAAATAAAAAAAATGTTAATATTTTTCCTTTAAATAATATTAAATAATATTAAATAATAATAACGCGTTTATATTTAAACTTACCGAGAGTTATTAAATTTAACAAAAATACAATATTATCCAATATTTTGATTGATTTATATCTATTAAATTAAAGATCATTTATTATTTTCTCTTTCTTATTAATAAAAAATCTTTTCACTTCTTTCACTTACTCATTGTTTATGAACTGATTTACAGCAATAATATCGGGCGAATCTGCCTTTAAACTAGAAAATACAACATACTGAACAAGTTCTAAATATCGAAAATAAAAAATTATTAATTAAAGAAAATTAAAATAATAAATTTATAAACATTTTTTTTTTACTTACCTGTAGTGAGAACTATAATAGTAAAGATAATTTGAATAAATTTAAGATTTAAAAGTATGGCTCTATGTTCTCTAAATATCATCATAATAATAATAATTGTAAAAACAATTTATCGTAAAAAAAATAAATCTATTTATGTATATAAAGAGTCGTAAAGCCTTAACGAAAAATAAAATAATAAAAATCCGTAAAAAATAATAACAAAATTTAATTTATAATAGTAAATCGAGAAAAATAAATTTGGATTTTTAATAAGAATTTTTTAATAACGTGAACCGAAAAAAAAAAAGATTTTTTTTTTTTTTTTTTTTATAAAAAGCGTTCGTTTTTTTTTGTAATTAAATTCGTTTTCTAATATATAATAACTTGAATATAATAATATAATATAATTTTTTTTTCGTATTCGTTTATCGCTTATTTTTTTCTTTTTATCGCTTATTATTTTGTATAAGAGAACTATTATACTAATAATAATAAAATATTATCACAAATGATGTAAGAAACAAAAGAAAAAAAAAGCGATAAAAGAAAAAAAAAAAAAATTTTACATTACAATTGTGCTTTTATATGAAAATAATTATAAAATAATAAGTTGTATATTTTATTTTATAACAATAAGTTTCTTTTAATAACTTTTTTAATAATGTAATTAATATTCATGCCCATATTAGGTCATCATAATTATTTATGCATCAGTGTTTTTGACCTGCACCCTAATTTCCACGAATTGCATATCACTTTTTATACTTTACCTTTTTATTTTATTTTTTTTTTTACAAACAATACTTCTTTATTGGAAACAAAGACGAAACTAGGAAAATTCCTCATGGTCCTCATGTTGCTATTTTTGGATAAACCAATAATTATAATAGTATGGTTTTAAACATTTTATTGTGTTTATCAAACATTTATTTTAAACTGGCAATAAATTTATTAAAATTTTCTAACTAAATTTGTATGAATTGAAATTAAAGAAATGACGATTTCCTGAATATTAATTTCTATAAATAACTCGAAAAAAATTTTTATTAACAAGCCACAGCTTGGCTAATTTTTTATTACTCATACTACTCATATTAATGAGTAATGATTCTTCTACATTACGTTCTGAAATTGGGTATTTTAAAAATAATATTTAAATATTTATCTATTATTCCTTTTATACTATATTTTTAGTAATTATTATTATTATTATGTATTATTATTGTATTAAATTTAAATTTAAATATTATATATATTATTATTATAGTATACTTTATATATACGGGTGAAACAGTGAGATGATTTTCAAACATATGCATTAATTTTGAGCACGAAATGCCTAAAGACGGTATTTCGTAGATTTCGCATGGAAAAATTTTGTTTGCATAGTATTTTTTTTGATCGTATCGTACAAAATTTACACTGCATTTCATCTTCACTAACTTATTTCGGAGAAATTTTTCTAAAAAAAATATCATTAAGCCAATAAAATTCTTTCCATTTATCTTTGCTTTGAATTTTTTTAATTTTATTTGATTTTAAAATTTCAATGAATTGAATTTGGTTAAAATGACACTTCATCTAGGATTAAAAAAATTATATTAAAAAGGTGATGATCATCATGCATCATGTGGATGGATGTTCATGCAGGAAAAACTGCAATTAACGCTTAACGCGTAAAACATAATCATTAATCATTTTAAATCATTTAACCGACGAAAATTAATTTTTTTTTTTCTGAAGAAAATTCAACGATAAAGAATTATTAAATCTTTTAATCACTTTTTTTTAAAAAAAAATTACAAAATTACGATAGACCGAATTTAGCGTTTCGTTTTTAATATATAGTATTTGTACCCAATTCGGCCTAACGTAAAAAAAGTGATTATCGTATGATCATTGGATATCCTATAAAAGGATCTCGGAAAAAATATCCGAACATTCGGTATTTTACGTTTTTACGGTCATTTAGGATGTACCGTACGATTATGAGAAAAATATAAATGTACTAAATTAATTGACAGCATGGTGATCCTTTATCATTTATCCGTTCAATCTGACGGAATGACGGATTATACGGTTTAAACCCGACGGATAAAATCCGATTAGATTGTTGAATGAACGAACCATATGAGAGAATTTTTAGCGATAAAAATATCAAAATAATAATAAACAATTAAGAAATAAATAATTTTAGAATCATTATAATAAAGATTACCATAACTTTTACGCTAGAATTAGTCTTTTGAGAAATTTTTTATTAATATCCTTATATAAATTCCACATTCATTTCAACATTTTTATTGTTAAATATAAATATTGTATATAAAAAAAAACTAAAATCTAAATAAAATTTAAATAAAATCTATTATAAATAAATAAAAATTACATATCATCAAATTTACCGATAACTTTCTTTCCTTTATTTCTCGTTCTAGTAGGTTGAGTTGGACTTGTGAATGTAGCATTTGAAGGTGCGATCATTTGTGTATCTATTGAAATTGAATTGGTATTCATTCCACTCGAGTAAAATTGTTTAGGTTTGAATGTCTAAAATTTAAAGAAAAAATGTTAAAACATAGAAATAGTTTAATTAAAGGGTTAAAATCATTATAATATGAAAAAAAAAAAAAAGTACATGTATACTATAATACATACCTCTTTTTTCTGCATAATGTATTCATAAGCAGTAAAAGAATTGGCTACCAAAAGAGTATTAGGAAATTTATCATCTAAAATTTCTTCTATTACATTATTATTCCAAAGATTAAGAGACATATCAGTAAAATAATCATAGAGTCTATGATTTTCTTTATCATTTTCAATTTGTAATACTCTTTGAATAAATCTTTTCATGGCAATTATGAATGAATCTACAGGAATTTTTTCTTTATTTCCATTTTCATAATCAATAGCATTATCAATCTCTTCTTCCATTTCTTCATTTAAAGCTTTTTTATATTTCTTATCAACGAATTGAATCATAATATCGGCTACTTGTTCTTCAATAATTTCATAAAGTGATACAATATGTTTTAATTGAAGATTAAAAGATAAAATAGTTTCGAATCTTGAATCTTCTGTTAATGAAGATAATTGAACCCATTGATTTATAAATTCAATTAAACTTAATTCTCCATTACCAACTGATGTTCTTTTTATGAAACAAAGTAAAATTTCTAATAAAGAAAGTAATTCAGAAGAATTATTATTCTTTGAAGCTAAGGTTGAAGAAAATGTTGAAAGTGACATATAAGAGGTAATAGCGTTTTGACCGATTATAAGTGATAATTTATCAGAAGGAATTGAATCTTGAGGAATTACAGATTTAATATCACCAAGTATACGCATAGAAGATGAGAATAATTCTAAATGATAAGGGAAAGGTTCTAATACTAATTGTTCATTACCAACTTCAAAATAAACTTTATTTTGAACTAAAATATTGGCCAATTCACTTTCAATACGTTGTAAATCATAAATAATATCTTGACCTTTTCCTAAACCTAAATTTCTTTGAGAATATTGAAGAATTTCATCATTCCATTCATAAATAATAAAATTATCTTCAATTGCATGATCAACACTCATAGTTCTAATAAAGTAAGGAGAATCATCAATTGTAGAAGTGGTATCATCCCAAGAAGGAGATTGTAAGAATCCAAGAGAATCACAAGATTCAGGTGGTATTGACATTATTTTTCCCAAAAAAGTATTTTGAATATTAATTAAATATTCTAATATAGCACAAAGATAAATTCCTTCATCTTTCCCTTCTATTAATCCATATATAATACTAAATTTATCAGTAATTTGTGGTTTAATTAAAGGTAAATCATGACATTGATATCTTTTAACTTTGTTAATCATAAAATTATAAGCTACTTGAAATTCGTTAAAAGATTTACAAAGTGCATAGTAAGCCTCTTTATCACCTTCACTTTCGATAAACATTCTAAAGGTTGTTTTTTTAGCATCATCTCTTAATAATTTATAACCTAATTTATTATTTAACATTTGAATGAATTTAACCATAGGGTAAAGATATTTAATAAAGGGTAAATATTCGAAATATTTAAAGAAAATGTTGAGGAAAGGATATTTTCTAATATTTTTTGGTTCAGAAATATAATAAGCTCTAAAACTATTAAAATCAATTTTACAAATTATTCTCCATAAAGAAGGTAAAATTTCATTACAATATTTTTCATCCATTGAATTAGTTTGATTGATCTGTTCATCTAATAAAGATTTTTTAACATCATCTTTTTTCATATTTTGTTCTATTTGAGCACGAAATTGAGCAGATGATTCATTTATATTACGAGTAAATGGAAGTACGTATATATGAGTAAAATTTATTTCCCATTGATCTCTATCATAAGGAGTATCAAGTTTTGAATTATAAGTTGGAGGATTATTAGTAAGGGCCATTATAATTGAGTGAAATGTTAAAGCTAAAATTTCATCAGAACAATTAAGAATTCTATTTAAAACTTCCCAATCATTTTTGATATGTTCCATACAATAATCTACTGCATTAGTATAATTCTTATTATGTTGTTGAATTAATGCAGTAACAGCTTGAGAAGGAGCTTGAGAACCAATAATAGTATGAACAATTAAATGAAGTATTCTATATGCAACCGGAGGCATTTATCTTGTAGTGTAACTAATATCCTTGTAAATACATTCAGAAATATAACCTTTATGATCATTTGATTCAAATGCGTTTCGATTTGCTGAATCAATTCTTATATTACCAGTAGCTGAAACAAAATTACTTCCTCCAATTACTCTTTTACATTCAGGACATTTACTTGTAGCCATTGCTTTACCACATTCGCCAATTAAATATTTATAACCACATTTACAAGAATATCTTGATACGTTATCTCTTGCCGCAATAGCATTAAAAACTAAACTTTCAATATCTGACTGACACGTTAATACAAAAGTATTTTGAACATTTTCTATATTATGCATATACATTGATAATAATGTGGAATTTGAATCAAATAATATATGTAATCCAATTACATGAGCAATAACTGATTTCATTAATAATTCACTATTTGTTATCACATTATTAAATCTTAATAATGATTGAGTATTTGTAATGATCTTAAGTAAATTTGCTCTGAAATTTTCTGGAATTGAGGTCAACAAATTAATTTTTTCTATAAAATATACGGAAATTTGATTTTCATTATATCACCATTCCCTTGAAGCTCTAATTAAATGTAATTTAGATAATACAATACCAAATAATCTCATTTTATTTAATAAATTGGGTGCTTGATTATTATATTGTTTGAAAATTTCATCAAATTGTGTCTTATTAATACTATTGTAAAATAATGTATACGCAATTTCTAATTTACCATAATCTGAAATAGCCCAATAAGGGTTAAATGGTAATCTACATTCATCTTTATCGTCCAAGTCAAGATTACTAAACCAATTTAAATTTGATTGAGCTTCACAGAATTTCTTAATATCATCAGTGGAAAATTCTTTGTTAATACGTAATTCTCTTAAAAGATATAATTTAAATGCATTAATTAATGGATGGACTAATTTCATTGTTGTATTCAATTGTTCTACTAATGATGCACCATCGAAATCTATTACATCACATAATTTGTATGTAAGGGGTTTAATATAATCTTTTTTATTCTCAATTAAAAGATCCCAGAATTTTTTGGCGAACTCTTTAAGTAATGCAATTGAAGCGATACGTTGTAATGGTTGGATATTGTTGTTGTATAATGCGCCGATTGCTGAATTAAAACAATTAACTAAAGTAGTTAAATCCAATTTTGAAAAGAATTCTTGTTGAAAAGTATCACATGTTAACGTAGTCATCATTGTATTTAATTTATTAATATCAAAGCATCTGTTGATGATATTAAGTCTTTCCGAATATCCCAAGATTTGATTTGGTTGTCGAATAAGTTGTAATATAAAATTTGGATGTTCTTTTTCTTCAGTCTTAAAGATGCGTATTATAATTGCTCCCATAAGTGGAAATGGCTGAAGAGTAAATAATCCTTGATAAAGAAATTGTCTAACTGGTGATGTTAAAGCAAGTATATCAAGACATCTTAAAATAAATAGACGTCTCGGAATTAAATTCTTTTCATTAGGCTCAAGTTTAATTAATATAGTCATAACAACGTCAATAAACTCTTTTGAAATAACTTCATCAGAAGAAATCATATTTTGTTGAGCGTATCTAATAATTTGTTTCATATCATCTAATGGGATCGATTTTGCAATCAATAAATCATTACAAATTCTAAGTAAGCGTAATGAATATAATTCAGAAGTGGCATTGATCTTTTCACATAGTGATATTACTTTTGTCACTTCATATTGCCATCTTTCAATTATTAACCTATCTCCACATCTTTTCTTTTCTTCTTCTTTCAGATAATTGATTCTATTTAAAAGATCTCTGATTACTTGTTCAACGAGGTATTTTTCAAATTCTATTTCCAATAATTTATTTTCATCAGTCTCAGTATCAAATTGTTTAATAACGTGAGGACTAATTTGGGCTAAAGTAAGTTCGGCGAGAATAGATGATGAATTTTCCCACCAGCATAAATGTAATCTAACAGGATTTAAAATATCATTATCGGAAGCACTTAATCTTCTTTAAAAAATAAGTTTCAATAATTCCTCATAAGATTTACTATCCTTTTCTAATACTTCACTACTACTACTAACTTCATTAGATAATATAAAGTTAAAAAAATCTTTGAAATAATTTTCAGGATAATTAACGATAGGAGAATTTTTAATTATAGGAATTTCTCCAATGTTTTTAATAAATTTCTTATTGTATTCTTCTATTTTGTAAGAATATAATTTTCCCGTTGTTTTATCAACATTATCTGCATCATTAAATAATGATGATAATTCTTCTTCATATACTCTTCTTGAATCATCGATTTTTTTCATTATATAATATGAAAATGGAAATTCTAATTCATATATCCCATGTGGCATTTTATAACTATCTGGTGATGGATCACCTATTAATTCCTCTATTGAAATTATATTTTTATCGTCAACCATTTTATTCCAAAATTCTAATAAATAAGCATCATCGTCAATTATAATTTTTTCGGTTTCATCATAATCTTCCACACCTTCCATCATGAATTCTGCGGGACCTTTTGTAGTGAGGCTTTTATTATACAAGAAAATTATAGTATGAATTACCGCATATTTCTCGAGAGCATATAACCATTTTGCGATAGGTTTACGTACAACACTCCTAATATGAGCCAAGAGTGCGTTAACAAAGGAAGAATAAGGGTATAATAATTTCTTATTAGATGCTATTTTATATTGCCAATTCGTATCATTAGGATTTTCTATTAACCATTCTAAAGTTCTGGTCTTTAAAAAATTAACCAATATAGGATTTTCACAAATTTTTTCATTAAGCATCTTAATATGTTCTACTGATTTGATGTTGGAAGGATATTTTATACATAATAAACACCATAATAATTCTTGTTTTAGGATTACTTCAAATGGATATGTGCTGCTTAATATTAAATCTGATAAACTTTCATTCAAAAGTGTTGATAAATTCCTTTCTTGCGGTAATAAGGTTTCTATTGTAATTTTGTCCCATCCGCACATGAAATAAAATGACGAAGAAGAACTTAATAATTCTCTATGAATATGTAAGATAATACACACATGTTTAATAGGAAGCTGCTGCATATCTTTATGTTTCGATGATGATAGTTGTAATTGTCGTCTCTTTTTCTGAAAGTATTCATTACGAAATTGTTCAATCAAAAATTTTGCTAATTTAATACAACCTGCATTAATCGTAGTGACATCACATTGCAATATTAACATTTCATCTTGAGATTCAGTCCAGAAATATTTAATTCTATTTTGAAATTGTGATTCGGTTTTGAATGTTGATAATTTATCTACTTGACAACTAATTTGATTTTGTAAACATGTTTTAACATCTGTATTAATATTTGAAAACGTATTGATTATAATTTGTAACCCTTCATCGTTAACGATTTCTTCTTGAATAGGAGTATTTTCTTCGTGAACGAAATTTTTAAGTCGATATTGAATATGATCGATTAAATTATTATGATGCTGATTGTTGAAATAAACATTTTTCCAATATCTAACTTCTTCTAAATGTAAATTTGATTGTTCGGCTCTAATCATACCATCAGATGACGCAATATTAATTAATTTTTCCTTACATTTAATCAATACCTCCCCCTCATCCGCTTCAGGAAAGCTCTTTTTCACGTCGATAACCAAACTTTGTAAAGTTTCATTCTTGTCGAATCCAATAAATAAATCTTCTTGTTTAAATCCTCTTAACTTAACGGTAGAAATTGACTCTGCCCAATCTTTAAGAGTTTCCACCAAATCTTGTTCTTGCGGCATTAACGCATCATTCATGGTCATTCTCTGTTTTTCAAATCTATTGAGTAATGGTGGATCGGCTTTTTCTAATTTACTTTCGTCCATCACTAATATACACCTAAATGTTGGAGCTACATACAATAATGGATTTGAATATGCTCCAAGTGCTACTCTAGCATAAAATTTTGGATCTTCTTCGCTACCAACAACAATGTAATTTTGGTTCCATAAATCGTATAAACTTCCTATTTATTTGAAAGGAGAGGAAAGTTTAAATCAATATTTTTTTTTTTTTTTTTAAAAAAAAACAAAAATGAAAAAAAAGAAACTGACCATAAATAATTTCTAAATCTGTTAAAATTAATGGTCTACCGGTTTCGACGCACATCATAATTCTGTTTAAAACACTATAAGAATAATCATCTTGATCTTCAGGAAATTGGGATCCAAGTATTACGACAGGATCTAGACCCTTTTTTCTTAGTTGATAATTTAATAAGTTAACAATGCTATCACTTTTACCTATAACCATTAAATGTCTCGCATCTTTATCTTCTAGATTCGCATTAATTAAATCCCAAATTGGTATAGGTTTATAGTCATATTCCTTTGATGAATTAAAATTTTTTATTACTAAACCGAAATAATCTTTCACTAATTCTTCAATATTGCCTATACCTCCAAAATTTCTCGTTAATGCCAAATGTATATTTTCCGGTGTTAAACTATTATATTGTGATAAACTTTTTACTAAAGAATAGTAATCTCTTAATCCATGAAAATTAGATAATTTTTGTCCTCTTTGTTCGTAAATTAAATATGATTGTGCTAATAATTGCAATGATGCCTTTTTTATTGGTGAATTCTCATTTTTTATAAGTAATCGTGACGCTGTTTCTGTTAAATCATTTAATTCAAATTTAGGTCTTTGAACTAATAATGCTATACTACTTTTACTATTATCTAATCTCCAATTCGAAATAGCTACACAAGAAACCGCTGGTTCAGTATTAGGATAACTCGGTTCAAGTAGTGAATGTAATACTTTTAATGGGTTAAACGGACTGGTTTCAGCCAATCCCACTAAAAAAAAAAAAAATATTAACAAATAAGTGAAAATTTTGAAATTTTTAATAGTTAAGGTTTAAAAAATCTTTCATACATACCCACATCAAGTAATACGACACTGAGAAGAGGAAATTCGTCAGAACTTGTTTTTTGATAATTCACTGCTTTTTCAAATACTTTGTGAATACCTTCAGAAGTTGAAGATGATGAACCTTGATGTGGAATTAAATATACTTGAAGTAAGCTTCTAAAATATTCATCATTTGAATCTACTCCTCGAAGATTTTGATTTATAAGTCTAACAGCTAAGGATTTTGATGACCCAGGTGCTCCAATTATAAAGCAAGGTATTTTGGTAAAAATGCATACAATCATAACTAATACGTTTTCTAGTAAAGCTTCATTCTTTGCCGTATTGGGCGGACATTGCATTCTGTCAATATAATTTTCCTGTTCTTCTCTTATAATTCTGTCAAATCTCTCTTCAGTAATATTAAATTTATGCTTCTTGAAAATTTCGCTCATCCTTCTTCTATATTCTTTTCTTAATTGCTGTTCGTATAGCCTTGATTGATAACATAATCCTAATGCAAGTATATAAGAACGTACATTATTTGTAATGTCACTAGGTACAGGATATTTTATAATTTTTCCATATTTCTTAATCGGAGGTCGATCTTTTAAACTATTAATAAAGAATTTAACAAGCTTAATAGCACGCTTAACATCACGTAAACTAACGCTATAGGATTCTTCAGTTCTTCTTATAAAATCTTGAGAAAAAAATAAACATTCCGATAATACTTTATGACCAAGATCTTTAAGTAGTTCTTTTACCATTATTTCAATATATTTTGCTTCTTCTACAGGTTTAAGAATGCCATAATCCCAAACATAATCTAATATTTGATCAGGTAATGGATTAACTTGATAAACAAGTTTACTTTTTTCTTCAAATCGTGAATCTTTAGGTTTTAGTAATCCTGCTTCTGTTGCTGCTTTGGTACGTATACGATATGGATTACATGCTGCAAAAAGTCGAATATTGTGATGAATTGGTTTTCCATTTAACATTCTGTGAGCGATCAAATCAGCTAGTAATCCAATATGATTACATGTATTAATTTCATCAAAGAATAACCAAATTTCTCCTTTATCGGCTTCTTTTAGAGATTCTCCCATAAAAAATAAAATAGTTTCTTCCGTAATACCAGCATGAAGATTTAATGCACGAAATTTTACTTCAACAACTTTAGATAAAAATCCTATTAAACTTGTTTTTCCACATCCAGCTTCACCGCATACAATTACAGGAATATTAGCACGAGCTCTTAAGAGAATAAGAGCCATTTTAATTAAATTATCGGCAGAAAGAGCATATTGAGGGTAATCAATTATATGCATAGTTTTTCTTGCTAAATTTTCCAAAGTGGATAATAAATCTTTAGAATTCATATTACGATAGTCATCTAAATCCCAAAGTTTCTTATCTCCAATATATTGACTTTGTAATAAAGTTTTCACATTTTTTGGAACTTTTTCCTTGTCTCTGTATAATGCGCAGATCGAATCTGGTGTTTGAGATAAGAAAAATACCAACAAATGATTTGAATCATCCCACTGTACTATGGTACCGAGAGCAGCATTTTCATTATCAGGAGTTGAAATATTTTCTTTTTGTGCTGTTTTAGTTGCAATAGATTTAGTGGCAAAATCTTTTGATACGCTTAATAATGTTTGAACGAGTGTACTACGTATATTTTTTTCATCCACCATAAGTTTTAAATTTTCAACTTTGAAATAAGAACTTAATGATAGTCTAACTAACTGATCAGCAAATACGTTAACAAATATTTCGACAAATCTAAATGATGAAATTTCTCTTTCGTCTTTTATATCCTTATTATTCTTTACAAACAGATAATCTTTAATTAAATTTCTGCATTAATTAACGGGTAATGGTTGTAAATCTAGAGATCCCTCTACACTTCTGAAATGAATATCCTAATCATTTATTGCAACTTTTTAACTAAGTGCTTTCAAATAATGACAAACAACTTGAATTGGACTATTAATTTCTTGTGAAACAGTTAAATTTTCTATATTCCAATATAAATGTGTTTGACGAAGATATCCTGCGATGGGTAGAGATTAAAGCAAATGTTGTCATATTGTAGAAGCTACCTCAATAAATATAAAAGTGTTTGGAAGAAATGCGATATCCATATTACAAAATACAACTCCTAAGGTTAAAAGTTCAAATAATAACAAATTAACGTCCCCGGGGCGATCAGCAGATATAATATTAAAATGCACACTTTCAAATGGTAGCAAATTAAATTCTTTAAGTCTATGAACAAGCGTTCCGAAATCAATTCCATCACTAATAAGAAAAGTTTTTGGTGTTAAATTTTTTGAAAAACTATATTGTCTAATATATTCAGTTTTACCCTGTCCAGACAATTCTGAAGAAATGCTCATGACATTTGGACATAATTCAAGATAAAGGGTTTTCATTGCTTCACCACTTAATCCATTTGTTGCATGAACGTCTTGAGAAAATTGATCTAAAATATGATGAAGTAGTTCTTGTTCACGATAACAAATTAGTGCTAGTAGAAATTTATCATTATATTCACACATAGACATAATGAGATTAACTAAATTATATTGTAATTCAAAATCTAATAACTCCAAGTTAGCAAGACAGAATAAGGTTCCTTTGTATCCATTTTTATTTGCAAAGAAACATCTTTTAATGAAAATTGCGAGTTCTTCCATAGTTGTAGAAGCTGTACATATTAATATTTGCCATGGTAAAGGATGACATTCATGGTTCACGTATAATGACATTATAATGTTTGGAACAAGGAATTTATCAGTACATGCAGCAACAAATAATTTTCCAGGATAAACTACATCTGAAATTACACGCTCTTTAATATTCTTGACTTGACGTTCTTCTTTGGGAACTGTTGTAAATATTTCTTGTAAGATTGTTCCAATTTTTCCAAAAGTATCATCATATTTATTTCCTTCCAAATTAATTGTAATTTTGTCTTTTGGAGGTAATTTAGCTTTACTATTGACAAATCGGATCAATTTTTTACATTCTTCAGTATTTGCTTTGTCATTTGTTTTACTTTCAACGCTAAAATAATCAAGGAATGACAAAATATGTCGAGCCGGGAAAAATGTTAAATAATAATATTCCTCTTGGGCTTCATTCACAATTGCTTCCCTATTTTTTTTTAAAAAAAAAGGAAAATAATTATAAGTCAGGCATATAACAATTAGATGTCGCTATTATAAACATCACGAAAACATATAATTACCATTCTTTTAAGTGCTCTTTTAATTCAATTACTGTATGTTGCATATTCTCGGTACCTTTGATTTCTCGCTTAAATTTACGATAATAAAAGTGACCTGTTTGAAAAAGCTTCGAAGAAAGGTTGATAATTTCTTGTGACATATCTACTTGAATAACGAATTCGTCCATAATAGGTTTAGAAACTTTCTGTTCAACTTCTAATCCGGGAGCGTGATTAGTTGCAATATCAACAGACACTGAAGGTTTTGATATCAAGAGCGCACGTTCACGCAAATCGTGTAAATCGGTCAAGGAGTAAGAAGGTTTAGTAGTTCCCCTAGTAAATGTAGAATAAGACAAAGTAACTTTACACGTATCTCCTTTAATATCACGTTCGAAAGTGTAAGTCCCTCTCTTAGCCGCATTTCTAATCTTTTCCCTCGTATTTTCTTCTTTATTTGAAATACTGTTATACAAATTTTGCAATGCCATGTTGTTGCTACTACAAAGTGCTACTTTGCTTCCTAACTTTGCATTCTGCTGAGTTATATTGCTAATTTCAATCAAAAATTTCTTAAGCGATAATCTTTCCACAGATTTTAATAAAGGGAGCAAAAATTGTTTGACTTGAATGAGAGAAGAAACTGTGTCTTCTTGTATAAGTCTTTCATCTGAAGATTCGTCTACCGAATTAAATAAATTTTTTATGTCATGTTCAGCGATTTTATAAAGAAACACAATAAAATCACTAGCTTTTGAGAGTTCTTTGATCAAATCCCAACAATCATCATTAATTAATCCAAAATGTTGATTAAATATTTCAAAGAAATTCACTAATTTTCCTAACCAAAGATAATCGTCACGAAGAACTAACTGTATTCTTTCAAGCCAATCATCTTTAGTGTGAGTTATTTTAAACATAACTACGACTATAGATAATTGCTGAAGTCGTTCAATTTGAGTCGGAACTAAAGAAAGATATTCAAGTGTTTTAATTAACTTTGGACTTTTTTCTGTTTGAATGTAATCACTTATCAAATTTAATTCTATTTCGATATCTTTCACATTTTTCCATATAAGGATTCCTTCTGAACATTTAAGACTTTCCCATTCTTTATATTGTTGACATAATTGATCATATTCGATAAATACGGCTGGCATTAAAGTTTGAGCTATATATTCGACAGTTACTAATTCATATTCATATGATTCCAATTCCAATTTATTATTAAAAACATTATAGAATGTATGCGACTTTGCCCATTTATGTGCTTTTCTAGCGGTAACTATATTTTTTTTATGAAAATTCCAATGATTATCAGCCAAAGTTTCTTTAAGCGTAAGATTTCCTAGATTATTATTTCGATTATTAATGTCATTAAGAAAATTTTGAACGTCTTCAACTTTTTCAATAGGACAAAATTTATCATAAAATGATCTTAATTGTTCTATTTTCAAAATGTATCCATGGTAGTTTTTTCGAAGATTTTTAACCAGAACTTCGCTAATTTTCTCTTTCTCGGCAGATAAATTGAGAAAGGGATACAAAACTTCAGTATCATATTCAAGAATTTCTTGTAGGGATCGGATTGTTATATCCTCTCTAATAATAACGGCATCGAATTTAAAGATTAATCCTTGAACTTGCTTAACATAAGGATGGGAATACAAATTATCAACAAGGCCAGTTGCGTTGAAAATTAAACTCCAAAATCGATAATTTTCAAGTAATCTTAAAATTACAGTCGATAAATTTGTATTATTCTTGATAATTTTATCTTTAGCTTCCAAATATGTCATTACGTGATAGACAATATTTTCGCTTAAGCTAATAAAGTAAAAGTGAATTTTTAAATTAGTAAATTATAAAATCATATATAAAGTCATCCGGTATTTGAAAAGAAATCTTTAATTACCTATTTTGTATAAATAAAACTTCGTTTTTGCAACCACAAACTTGCAACAAATATCTTATCACGTTATTATCAATTTTATTTATGTAATTTTTTAATAATTCCTTGACCATTTCTCCATATGAATCATGAATTTCTTTCTCTAAAGTTGAGATAACTGGCGTAATAGTTAAAATATTAGAAATATTAGATAGAGCGCAGTTTTTGGCACGACCAGCCGCAACATCTAATAAATCTTTAAAAATTTTAGCATGCTTTCCAACTATTGGAAAGATGATTGATAAATAATAATAAATTTCATAAATGAAGTTTGAATCGTTAGAATCATATGATCCAGATCTATAATAATTATTCAAACTTGTTGCATGTGATGATGAAATAAGTTGCTCAACGCGAAGACAAAAGTATTTAATAAGTTGAATATCGCGTTCTGTCGTGTGTTCAATGATATCAGTCCAAATAAAACGAAGAATTTCGAAGGAGTTACAATTGTAAAATAACCACTAAAAAAATAAATCAATTTATAATTAAGAATTTTAATTATAATATCGTTTATAAAAAAACTTTAACTTACCCTTCCAATATTGGAATAAATTGACAAGTTCTTAATTTGATTTACGATAGATTTTGCGGATTTTGTATATTCTATTAAAAAATTCTTCATTCGATCATTGCTATATTTAAGGTCTTGAATTACTTCGATAAAACTAAAATGTGGATCGATAATACTAGCAACTTTGAAAAGCTTTAGCCAATCAAAAGATCTATTGATTACGTTTAAACGGATTGCAGCAGTCATTGTTATGTTTAATGCGTCATAGAATTCTCCAGGCAAAAGATCGGATTGAAATTTCTCTAAAGTATCAATAATTTGAGCTATAGGAAACCCATTTGGTAAGCCAAACCGACCAAATGATTCTTGGCGAAAGTGAATATAATTTCCTAAAAGAAGACATAAAAAAATACGCTTTTCGTATTCCTTTGATTTTGTCTTTGAATATTCTGACTAATAAAATCAATATCTGTTTCATGCAATACAGGATTACGAAAGTTATCCATAAGTCCTTGATATTCCATAATCTTATCTTTAAAATTATCTGAAGTTATACTATTAAGGATAATACTCGTAAACACAAAGTCTCTAAGAGATCGAAACTCAGTGCGCCGGGTTTTAATAACAAATACTTGTGCTATATCAAATTTGAATCCAGTTTTTTTTTCCAAAAGTCGCAATTGCTCATTTTCCTCCGAATAAAGATCTCCTTCATCAGGATCATCGTCGTTGTATTTTTTCTTTTCATCAGATTTGGGTTTGGTAAATAAAGAAAATTTTGATTTTCCCTCAATTCTTGGCTTCGGGATGAAGAACGCATATTTGTACTTGACTTCATAATTATTGAATCTATCAAGTGGTATGGAAATTGGATCTGAATACCAATAATTAGATTTAAAGTGCAAATATTCACCTTCCTGTTGTTTTAGTTTAACAATCGGATTTTCCCAATTGCCCAATTCTTCGATATTACCAACAACAATAGGATAACCTTCAACAAATTCAAAGGAAGGTAAGTAAACATGAAAAGTAACTTTAATATTTGAAGAATCATCTACGAAAATGGTTTTCTTCCATCCCTTGAAAAAATTTTTGTTTTCTGTGTTAGTCGATTCAGGCTGTGATTGATGCTCAAAATCATCGGCTTGCAAAGAAGTTTCGGACAAAGTTTCTACGGTGGATTTGTCCAATAAAATCACAGTTCCATCTTTATTAGTTTCGGACGACATATTTCATATTTCCAAATAATTGTTATTATTCAAACTATGACAAAGATAATTATAAAATCTGTCAAAAAAATCTGTCGTTCGAACAAGAAATAAGAAAAAAAACGAAATGAAAATTTTAATATGCTTATTTATCAAAAAAAAAAAAAAAAAAAAAAAAAATTATATTTTCATTGTTTATTTTCCAAATTAAGAAATACTGCGTAAGTTTATTCACTTAATTTAAATGAATTAACTTATCCGGTTAATTAGATCTTGTTTTTTTTGTTCTTCATTTGCTTGAAATGGATTCTATTTGGAAGTATTTAAATGAAAAATTATTTTTGGACTAGCTTTGATTTGAAATTCCTAAAATTAGTTTAAATAAGTGTACGTAATTTAACGTAATACATATGGGCGGATTTGATGATCGGAATGTCGATCATTTTGGCCAAAATTAACGTTAATTTTGGCCAAAATGAGTCAATCCGCCCATATTATGTAACAACAATTACTGATTTTGACCAGCATTACTATTAATTTTGGCCAAATAATCCAAATAATGAATATATTTCAGAAAAAATATTAATTCTTCCAATTTTGTTTAATTCATACCGTTTGTGGGTATGCATTACATAGATTTTACAAAGTATGAAAGTAACATTAATGGTTGGATAATTTGAATGATACCCTTTTTTTATACATATCAGATATAAATTGATCCGCGAATATGTTAAATTTTACAACTATTATGTAAACGATTGTTTTATAAAAAAAAAAAATTTTTATGTATTTATACTAAAAAATATATCTTTTTGTATACTGTACAGGAAAAGAATTTTTTTTCCCGTAGTTAGTTCTGAAAATTATGAGAAAGAATTCATATAAATTACACTGATACTTCGATTTAAACTATATTCAGTTTTATCCACATGCCTAAAAATAAAGTGGTTACAAATTCAATACACGTAGTGGTCAATCTCGCAAGGATGACAAAAAAGAAAATTTAACGCAAAGACTATAATATTCCTAAATTCGTAAAAAAATGATGCTAGAAAGTGTAAAATCGAAAATTTGTTATTATTGGAGATAAAAATAATTGATTCTTAATCAAATATTAATAACGCAATTAAGGATTATTAACGCGAATGGCCAAAACTAATGTGGTGGGCGAAACTCTATTATTTTAAATAAAAATAGTAAGACACAATTATATCAACTTTAAATTAGAAGGCATGCAAATTTCAGAATTTGACTTTATATCGCGCTTTTCAGAATTGTGTTACCCATGCAAATAACTTAATTACCAGATTAATTAATTATTTGCATGCATGGATAGCACAATTCTGAAAAGCGCGATGAAATGTTTTGCCAACCAAAAACAACTATTGATCATATTTGAGAAGAAATCTAACAATAAATCGAACTGAAACAATTGGTACAAAAAAATTACATTATTTACTATTCATAGTTTTGTTTTTCAAGGTAATGTTATTCTATAGTATAATGCTTGTGGATCCTATTCTGATAAAATACAGTTACACTTACTGTATATAGTGATGAAAATGAATTGATAACGGGTAAAAGTTTGTGTTATCCGTTTTCCGTGATGCAAATAATTTTTGAAGAATTTCAGTTTGTGAGTATTCCCTGCAAATGTGTAACCAAACTCGAAAATTATTTATATACTTGCCTCGTTCAAAATTTTTTCCAATAATTTCTTTGCCATAACTCCTTAGTTACTCTGTTACCAGTCTGATCCAACATGAACATGTGAATAGTTTAGGCCTTTCGGCCTTATAAAGGAGTTTCGGACATAGTTTCGGATTCCGTCTGAGGTTTCGGATTTCGACTGAGGTTTCGGTTTCGGAAAAGGGGTTTTGAAATCCGAAACTGGCCAAAATCCAAAACTGAAACCTGGCCGAAACTGGGGGGTTCGGCTACATGTATAATTTAGGGTTAAACAAGAAAATTGTTTCTAGTTTATATTTAAAAACTTTTTTTTAATAGGATTTCCTAATTATGAAAATGTATTATAAATAATATTTGACTTTATTTATATTTCAAAATAATTTGCAAATACAAACTGTTTTACATAAATATTTGCATATACTCTATAATCAGTATTGAATAATAAAATAATTTCTACTTTAAAAAAAAAAAAATTTTCATTCGAGTCGAAAATATGATATAGTAAACTTCTAATTATTTATATTGCACCGTCTAAACATTCGCTATTATTATTATCATTATTTTCATCATATTTTAGATAATCTGTAAAGAATTGAGTATTCGAGATGTATAAATAGCCCAAGGATGATTAGTTGCTTGGTCAACTATAAAAAAAGGAAGATTTGCTTTTCGATATTCTTCTGCTTGTTTAAATGAATCATTATTTATATATTGATTCCAAGAAGATATTTGTCATATATTTCAGTTGCACATGGTCTTTCGTCCGGATTTGAATCCCAACACTTTTTCATTAAGTCAATATAAAGTATAATTTCAATGATTTAGTCATTATTCTTTATTAATTCATTTAAAGTATCATTTATATCAATAATTTTCTGTTAAAAATCTCTTTATATTTGTCTTTTAATAAATTTTTCATTCAAAGAATGAAAAATTATTTAATGTTTTACGAAATTTCAAAATGAAAAATGAAAGAAAAATGATCATTCATATGTACAAAATATATCCGTCCGGCACGCGGCGATTGATTTAATAACGCTAGTTAGATATGGTCCTACATAATTTATTCTATAGATTAACATCATGCAAAAATCTTCTCATCATAATACAATAAAATTATTAAAATAATCATGTCGGACATAAAATTACGCCAATCTATTGTATCAAATACTATTTTAATCACCGAAAAATAGATCATAAAGTAAGGATTCGAATGGTTATGCGTGCATTCTTTTTCCTTGAAATCTGGAAAGATTATATTAAACGTTGTAGTACGATTCATTTATCAAAATGGTATAATATGCAACGTAGTAACGTAGTATTATTTCTATTCAAAGTTTTGAAATCTTTATTAGTATGGCAGAATCCTTATTTTAGTTCATCGAAATTACTATCCTAATTATCCTTTATTTTTATGGGATCATGGAACTGAGGCAACTGAACATATTTTTGATATATCATATACCCACGTCAAATATTAGCAGATTCTAACTTTTATGAATTTTATAAAATTCAAAAACGTGTTATGTATCGAGATAAGATGCCACATGCTGGATTAATTGATATATCAAGAGATCGGACATCAGCTGCAGATAAAAATCCATATCAATTAAAATAAAGTTTAATTAAAATTTTACACTATTAAATATTTTAGGCTATTGAATTTTTACGTACTTGGCCATCTGATGATGACATTAAAGAAGTGATTCGAATTGGATATGATGAAGCAATAGCATTGGCAAATTATCAATTGAACTTCAAATTCAATTCAGTAGCAGATTTCTTACAATGAAACTTCTTCAGACAATAATACAATAATTGATAATGAAGATGATCAAGATCAAAATTCAGGTATGAAAATAATTTGTTATCCTAAATCTTTATTAAATTTTACTAAAATTGCTAATATTTATATTAGAACAATGAAGTTGAAATACAAATAAATTCTGAAAATATAGGGACTGCTGCATTTGAAGTTTCCCGCTCTTGTTAGATGAAATCATGATGCTTTCTCGCCCGGATCTTTCATCGCCAATGATTTTATATTCGTTGCGAATTGATTCCAAAATACCTAAAACTGATGTTCCATAATTTTCAAGTCTAAATAAAAAAATCATAAAGTTATCATCATCGTCCAAAATTTCGTGAATAGGTGGAGTAATTTACTCTCAAGGCCATATCTCGCAAATACTTCTTCCAAACACAAAAGACGAAAAGTTTTTCTCTTAACTTATTTAACGGAGTTCACAAATCTCGTCCACCTTTCATGTCATAACTTCTGTTTCTCTGAGAAAGTTACGGTCATTTTGCTTGAAGGAATGCTACCAAGTTCTCTCACCATTTGGTAAGAAGTATTTGGCTATAACTCCTTATTACAGATACTTCTAAAAAATTTCTTTGATATTTTATTTTGAAAATGGTTTCGACGTTAACATTTCATTTAAATAATCTATGATATAAATTATATTATAAATTTTCATTTAATAGTATTAAATATATACATTATACAATTCAATTTTATTATTTTATTAATAAATAATTTGATCATAAATATTTTTAGATTCCACGTGAACGAGGTCACGATACAAGCTATAAGGACAAACTATTCGTAAGCCTTTAACTAAAAATCGGGAACACCGCCATTATGACAGCGCCACCCTGGTGTCGAAAAACAATGTTTTTATGTCACACAGACATGTCAGGTGATTTCCACAATAAAATCATTGCACAAACCTCTCAACTTCCACAACTTGAACAACTTCCATAACTTGAACAATTTCCACAATCTGAACAACTTCCACAACTTGTTCCACAACCTATCACGGAAAGCTCCTCTATGAAATATTATCGTGTGCCCGCCGGAACTGGTCCTCCGGAAGTAGGTGAAAAATACACAATATTACATTGGCCACTTCACCGAATAAATGCCTTGTCACAAGGACCCCTCAAAGGGGAATACAAATTAGATGAAAATAATGTGAAGTTCTACCAAACTACGAAGGATGGCTTTGTAGTGCCTGGCTGTTCAAGTTTCGTACCTCTAAACAGCAGACACAATGTTCCGAGTCGACGGTTACTAGGTCCGGAATCTCCTTGTTATTTTCTTTCTCCGGGGACAGTCCTTCCTGATGGACTTGCTATCGTCTACACTAAGAAAATGAAGACTAGGTTTCCTTCGGACTTACAACATTTATGGCACTTCAATATCTTTCCCACTAGAAGCATGACGCTTCACGAATATTCAAATATGATAAAAAATCTTGATTGGAAGCCATGTAATATTAAGGTAGGTGCATCACCAGATAAACTGGTATCTAAAAACGACGACATCGATGGTTTGAAAAGCATCGAAATTCTTGGGTTATATTTCCTTATGTCATTGTGGTACGATCAAGCGACCAATTCCATGGATCGCCTTCAGGCAAATGAAATTCATACATGGATTTCTTTGGATAAACCCACATTTCAAGACTTAATTTGTGATGAGGATCGTTCATTTTATGTGTTCTCGATGCTCGACCAATTAAAGACAGAATCTGTTACATTAGAAACTTATTGTGCTGATATTTTAGGCGAATTAGAAGATAGATTTATGTGGAAAGAATCAGATTTCTTTGATCCTAAGGTTAGTATTGATTAGGTTTAAACATTTGTGCCAAAGATTCAATATTCTTATGTACATGTAGAATTATTTAATATAGTGAAGGATTATTGAAGAGTTGAAGATTGATGATCGCACAGGTAATTTCAGTTCTTTATTTACATAGGATGAAGTTAGTGTTAAAATAAAGATTAATTGTATATTTCTTTACATTATTACAATAGACATCTTCATCAACTGACAGTTTTTTACTTTAGACAGATATAGATGATGACGGGAAATTCACAGTTACTCTTACGATCAATGGTGAAGAAAACAATAAAAGAATATTACACAGATTACTCCGCTTTGGGTAAAATGACTATGCATGTAATTTTATTTATCATAATATTAATAAAAAATTTCCTGGCAAAATTTCCGCTTGTCCAAAATGATGTGTTTTTTTTTTCTTGATTGGAGTTAGTGTTTCTAACAGATTTTCCTAGATGCATCATGCTAATGATGCAGTAATTTTTGGATTTCCATGGAATTCCTATTTTTTGCACAATGTATAAATATATAATGGTATTTAATCAGGTATATTCTGACTTACTAGCAAAATCACCAGCTTTTCTAATAAATGAGGCATGGGTACGTCCCACATCACAGAAGCATAACCCACTATCTGTAAAGAAGCTAGTGAAATTAACTCCATTGTAAAATCATTTTAAAACATGAAGCTATTAAATATCAGAAAAGATTAATGCACGTGCCAATGTTATTATCATTTAAAAAATTACCAGTTGCATATATTACAGATATGGGACTCAAGCCAATATTATTACGTGCAATCATGAAGAAGAAACAATCACTGGGTTATGAATGAACTTAAAGTATTAACCCAGCACCTGTTTGATTATAATAAAAGAACATTTAAGAAGTTCATGTGAGACATAGAAAAAGAATATAGAGAGAGGGTTAATGCAAATAAGAAGTTGCGGTGTGAAATTGAGGATCTAAAGATCCAAATGAAGGAGGCGGAAAAAAAAGCTGGCATCTATAAAATTACCTGAGATGCACTTTGATAATTCTATTCGCTAAGGAATGGTAATATCATCCTTTATGAATACTATGATGATGGTTTTGAGAGACTATTAAATTGAAGATGACAAAATTTTAATCACGTAAATAGTTATCAACATCATTATATATGCTATGCCAATCATTGGCATATAAGTGGAGAATTCTACTCAATTCATCCAAGGTGGACCCATTGAGAATGATATAATTTAATTATTTTCTTATTAGTTTCAGACAGTTAAAAAACTTTACAATATATAGATTGGGCTTATATTTTGTGGCATCCTTTAGTGAATGAAATCATCTCCTGAATCAGCACACAGGTTTTTGAATATAACAACATTTATAAAAAGTATTCAGGAGTCGACAAATATTTATTAAAGCTTTTTATTTGATTCATTTCCAATCCGTCTAAAATCGGCACTATCGCGAAATTTGATGTAAAACTCCATATTTACCATACCTTCTGCTTTGTTATGAATTTTATGACATATAATTAAGTTTTAATAGCTTAGTGTTTACCAATCTCGTGAAAAACGCAAATAAAGACACTTCCTTTTTTGCAATAATAAACATGCAACTTTTTAGCGTACTCCTTTTCCTTGGAGTTTTTTACATATATGGTATGATTTTATAAAATATAAATAAGCTTTCGCAATTATAGTGTTTGTGTTATTGTCAATCTACGAAACATTAAATTTCACCCCGATTTTTAATATAACGATAGTGAGGATCAGTGATTTAATCTAATGAAATTTGTATCTTTTTCATAACATATAATTAATTTATATTTATTTAGCTGTACAAATACAGGAACTTTTTATACTTAAACGATTATGAGCATGTATACTTTCAATTTCTGCAAAAAAATTCTGAAGTTATTGCAGGAGAGATCTCATGACAAATATTATATCAGCGTCATCAAAAATTATATTTACCAAATTTTAGCTTAAAAGAAATATTGTCAAAATAATGACTAGATAAAAAATCAAATAAAATTTTTTTTAACGATCTTACTGCGCCCTATATATATTTGTGTAGCTAAATTTTCAAAATCGACAAACAAATCCCTCTGATATACTCTATTTAGTTTCGTTCTTTTTAATTTCGTTCTATGCATTAATTTTCGTGTTTTCTAAACCTGAACAACGTAACAATCTAGAGTTTGCATAGTAACAAATGCATGCTAGCTTGTCTGCAATCTGTCCAATTTGTCAGTTGTCAGAGAATATTCGATCGTCAAACGCCGTAAAGTTATTTATGGGAAAATGTCTCACTTCTTTATTAATAAATAGTTATGATAAAAAAATTTACAAATAGGTTCATAAGCATTTGACTATTATAAAAGATTAAAGTTGATTTGTTGACCCGAAGCCCCTTTTGCTGTGAGGTGTAAAAATAAATAGGTAAACATTTTTGCATTACATAAATAATAAGAATTTCTTGTTTTAGCAAAATTAAAAAATAACATGTAAGATTATTAAAAAATGCTAAATAATAAATTATTAATCTATGATCCTAATTGTTGTTGAGTAGTTTATTACGAAATATCATCATGTGGTGCATCGGCAGCATAAGTTTTATTTGATTGTGGTGTAGAATCAGCTGTCAAGGTTTGAGTTAAATTTGGTGGTATTGTAATCGCTAAATTTTCATTTTGTTGCTGTGATGATATGGTCTCAGATGTAGTAAAAGATGCTGAATTCGTATTTTGATTATCATCCGTATTATTCGTTGTGTCTACGTTATCACGAATTCTATCTAAATATTGTACATCAACGACGTATTCTTGTAGAAATAACTCTAAACTATTAAGTCTCAATAGAAACAATTTATTTTGCTCGGCTAAAGAAAGAGAATTTATTTGATCTTTAGTATTAGGATCATCAGAAAATGGAACAGTCGGTAGGGAATCTTTAAGCTTATTTTGTGTCAAACGAGAAAATCCGCAACAATGCGATTGTACGGCTCCCCATGGTTGTAAGATGTTCGCGCCTGTAAAGAAGCAAAGAAAAGATCAATTTAAATTTTTTATGTCGATAAATAAATAAACAAAATGCCGAGATAAAATGAATAACGCTATAGCTTACCAAAAAGAAATGTATAAATTGCTGCAGCTAATCCCCACGCACCACCTATTAAACCCAAACCACTTAAGTACTATATGATGAATGTTTAATTAATAATCTTTTTAAATAAAATTGATTAAAACATTTAATAAATACTTACTGTATGTGTTCTTTTAAAATATTAAATTAATTTATTCAGTTAGTACGATTTGCAGATTACCATTATAGTGCAAAACAAACGATACAAACCTGAGTTCTTTATCTATTTGAATGGTATTAGAATACTTAGGTTGTATAGTAAAACTTATAATCTGCTCTGATGTTTTGTCTTGTACTATTGGATTTCCAACTGAAAAAAAAAAAAATTGTAGTAAATGTAAATTAAAAAAAAAAAAAAAGAAAAAAATTTAATTACCTAAATCAGATATGATATATGGTTTTCGTTCATATTTTGGAGGAACACCAAAATCATTCATCCAACTTGGTACTATAACTTCTCTAATTATATTAGAATAAGTAAATCTGTAATCCTACAAAAAAGAAAGTTGTGAATAAATTAATGTGATATTTTTAATAATTCTACATACCTGACTTGGCATTATTGAATAAGTGTTCAATGTAAAAATTGATTCTTCAACAAAGTCACTTCTTCCTTGATAAAAAAAGTCTTTTTCTAATATTTAAAATTAAAATAATTGAGTATTATATTAATTCTGGCCAGAATTAAATGATCATAAGATACCTGGATCATAAGCCATTAACGTCATGTCCCAAGGTTTTTCAAGTGTAAATTCTTCATTAATAACTAATTTCAAAGTTACATAATATAATGATTTCTTACTGAAAAAAACATTTTTTATCGGTTGGTAACTTGTAATATAGTGATTTATTTTCTCATCGTAATATAGTTTTGTGTCTTCTAAGCAATCTACTGGTGGTGCAAGCATATCATTCACCACTAAGTGATAGATAGATTGGTTTTTTTATTAATGTAAACAATTAATTATGACAACTTCAGTTATTTATAAATGACTTACTATGAACTTCTTGACAGGAAATACTAGAATTATAAACACCACCAAAATGCAAATCTATAATAATAATAATTTCTTTAATTAATTTTATAATTTATAAAAATAACATTAAAGTTTCATTCTTTATTACTTGGAGCTCGAACGCCATCAACATTAACATAAGAAGTTATTATAATTGGAGCATCTTGGTTTACATCAACTATTAAAACAGCGAGATAACCTGTCAAACCAGATATGAGCACGATCATTGTAAAAATTTTTAATCCCAAAAGATATTTAGGTTCGCTACGACGATTTCCGCCTAATAAATTTGTCAATCTCATGATTTTACAAGTATAATTAAGACTTCTAATGAATTTTTTTTTTTAGAAAAAAAAATTAGTAATTGATAAGAATATGATTCTAAGCCAAATTTATAAAAACACAAATGAAGTATGTGCTATAATTGGTAATATTATAATGAATTAAAGATAGGGGTGTTTATTTTTTTTGGATTGTTTGGATTGTTTTAATCGTGAAACAATGATTTACACAAACATCAATTTAATTTTATTTTATATACTGTATCCCTGTAAAAAAAGTCAATCCGTTTTTTATATTCCATCTTTTTTCCGTAAAAGGCTCATATTTCCGGAATTAATAACCTTATATCGCGGAATTTATCGAATCTGTGAAAGGCTCATTTTTACGGAGTTTTTACAGAATTAACGGATAAAATTTTTTATAGGGTATAAAATTCCAAATAGAAATTCTTCAAAAAAGATAATTCTATGTGAGTGTAGATGTGTGATTGTGCGGCCCTTCACGAGATATTTCCCCTGCATGGAGGTCACGGCAGTCTGAGTGATACTAAGAGGATCATTCGCCAGTACACGAAAGAGTCTGAGCGGGATATGTAATGTGTGGAAGTTATTTAGGATATTTTTACTCTTATTTTTCTTATAAATAATGAATTTAGGGAAATGACTAATTATTGAGCAAAAATATTTTAATACAAGTCTTGGAATATTCTTATTTCTTAAGTGGGTTGAAATGAGAGCTGGTGTATGACAGTTCATTTAATAAAATTATTTAATTGTATAATCTATTGTAAAGGATAATAAACAAAACATATAATATAAGGACTAATATGAATTAATAATCTTGCAACAAAGGACGTTATTTATCGTAACTGAATTCAACGATGCATATGGTCACGCGGAAATAAAGTTCGTCTAGATGTAATGCAGTGATCATGTAATTATGTGACAATGTATATGGATTAACAAATAAATGTACATCATATTATAATAAGATTGTTCGACCATCACATAAAAATATCGATCGGCAAAGGCCGTGAAATTAGCAAATTAAAAATTCATTTATGGAATAAATAAATGGCCATCTCTTATAAATAAATATAATAAAAAAAAAAAATTTTCATACAGTAAGAGATTTGATCTTAAAATTGAATTTGTTGAGCCGAAGCCCCTCTTTGTAATTTTGTTGTAGTAGACAAAATTAATTAAATGCATAATTGTATTGCATTGTATACTTAAATCACATGATTTTTTCAGCCAAAAATTAAAAAAAAAAATAACACGTACAATTATCAAAAAAAGTGCTATACAATATTAAATAATAAATTACTAATATATTATACTATCGCTATTGTTGAGTTGTTCATCATGTGCTGTATCGGTAGCATAAGTTATATTTGATTGTAAATTTTCATTTTATTGATGTGATGATATGGTTCCAAGCGTAGAAGATTCTGAATTCGTATTTTGATTATCTCCCGTATTATTCGCTGTGTTCATATTATCACGAATTCTATCTAAATATTTGACATCAACAACATATTCCTGTAAAAATGATTCTAAATTATTAAGTCTCGATAGTAATAATTTATTTTGTTCGGCTAAAGAAAGAGAATTTATTTGATGGCCTTTAGTATTATGATCATCGGAAAATGGAACAATTGGTAGGGAATTTTTAAGCTTCTTTTGTGTCAAACGAGAAAATCCGCAGCAGTACGATTGTACGACTCCCCATGGTTGTAAGGTTTTCGCGCCTGTAAAGATAAAAAGATACGATTTAATATAAATCTTTTATCTCAATAAAAAATAAAAAGAAGGAAATATGAGATAAAATAGATAACGATAAAACTTACCAAAAAGAAATGTATAAATTGCTGCCGCTAATCCCCACGCACCACCTATTAGACCCAAACTACCTAAGTACTTTACGAGTTTACGATGATATTCATATTAATAGATTTATAAATAAAATTGATTATAATATCTAATAAATACTTACTGTACGTGTTCTTTTAAATATCGTATTTTATTATTTGACTTACAATTAGTAAAAATAAGGATAAGATTACAATTATACTGAAACACAAACCTAACTTCTCTATTTAATTGAATAGTATTGATATACTTAGGTTGTATAATAAATTGTAGCATACCATCCGAATTTTTGTTTTGTAATGGGCCTCCAACTGAAAAAAAATACTAATAGTTATAGTAATATAATTAAAAGAAAAAAAATTATTTACTTACCTAAATTGGATGTGATATATGGTTTTTGTTCATATGTTGGAGGAACTCCAAAATCATTCATCCAACTTGGTACTATAGCTTCTCTAATTATATTTGAATACGTAAATCTGTAGTCCTACAAAAAAAGGTCGAGAGTAAATTAATGTGATATTTTTACCATACGTAAAGTATTTCTGCATATACAGTACCTGGTTTGGCGCTATATTATATGTGTTCATTGCAAAAATCATATCATCAACATCATCACTTGGATTTTGATAGTAAAAGTCTCGTTCTAATATTTCAAATTAAGATAAACACTCAATACCGGCCAGAATCAAGTAATATATTAAATTAAGGTTATCAGCCTCTTTTTGATCATACAATACCTGAATCATAAGCCGCTAAAAACATCTCCCACGGTTTTTCAAGTGTAATTTCTTCATAAACAAGAAAGAACAGAACTATATTATATAATGAACCCTTACTAAAAAAAACATCCTTTGATGGTTGATAATCTATCAAAAATTTTTTTGATTTCTCATCATATGATTGTTTCATGTCTCCTAAGCAATCTACTGGAACAAACGCTTTATTCACCACTAAGTGATAGATCAATTATTTTGTTAATGTAAGCAATTAACTTATGGCAACTTTCTTTTTAAATGACTTACTACGAGCTTCAACACATCCAGTGATACTGGCATTATAAACACCACTAAAATGCAAATCTATAATAATAATAAAAAATCATGTTTGTATAAGTAATGTTATTTCATAATTTATAATCAAAACATTATCATTTCATTCTTTATTACTTGGAGGTCGAACGCCGTCAACATTAAAATAAGAAGTGACAATAATTGAAGCACCTTGGTTTACATCAATTATTAAAACAGCGAGATAACCTGTCAAACAAGCTATGAGCATAATCATTGTAAAAAGTTTTATTCCTAAAAGGTGTTTAGGTTCACTACGACGACGTCCGCCTAATAAACTTGTCAATTTCATGATTTTACAAGTATAATTAGGATTTCTAAAGAATTTTTTTTAAAAAAAAAAATGACCGATGCGAATATAGTTCTAAACCAAATTTATAAAATCACAAGACAAGCTATAAGCTATAAATGGAATGAGGGAGTTTATTTGCTTGGACTGTGAAACATAATCAATTTATTTATTTATTTATTTATTTATTTATTAATTTATTTATATATTTATTAATTTATTAATTTAAAGTATTTTTTTATACTTTAAGCGACATCCGAACTTTGTATTATATAGTTGGGAACTGAGTTAAAATGTTGAGTATGCATAAGGGGTGAGAGATTAGGATACGGAATAATAATAATCTTGGTTAGCTATTATGTAAATTATTAATTATTTGTCATACAAATAAAGGTTCTAATTTTAAATTTAATAATTTTTACGGCAAGATTCTTTTTTAAAGCGGGCCGCGATACAATTCTCGACGCACATGTTGAACACGACATTAGCGAACGCGGAGGGAAATTGTTTAATACAATATTTTCTCCATCTGTAAATTAATTTTGAAAATTTTGAAAATCTTTTCATTCCTGATGTTAACACCCAAAAACTCAGCAATGATTTACAAAATTTTATTAATTTTCGTATTAAATCAATTATTTTTATTAGGGTTTGGACAGAATTACGTACCAGAGCCTCGAGTAGGGCAAGCAGCAGTTATTATTGAAGATAAAATATATTATATTGGAGGATATAAATTTAACCAATCACAACCCACAAGTGATGTTTTTTACCTCGATGTAAAAGAATTTAAGTTTACATGGACAGATTTAGTGAGTCTAGGAGCAAATCTAACATTGACATCATGGCACACTGCAAGTCCAAATGGCATTAGTCTTGATTCAATATTTATATTGGGAGGTGTACATTTAGATGAAGCAAATATGAATTATGTATATAAATTAGATATTAAAACAAATGTAATAAGTGTACCAATAATTCAAGGAAAAACTCCACAACCACGTCAAGGAATGAATTCTGCTGTTAGTATTGAAGGAAAAATTTATATATTTGGTGGCTACGTAGGTTCTGGCGATAATATCATATTTGTTAATAGTTTAGATATATTAGATACTATTAACTTGAGTTGGAGTGTCGGTAGCTTGGTTAATTCTCCTGTTGGTAGAATCTATTATACAGCAACATTACTTAATGATGGAACTATTTATTATATTGGTGGTAAAGTGGATCGTAATAATTTTTCCCCAATGACCGAGGTATGTGTTTTTATTGTGTAAATTTATAAATACTTAAAAATTATGTCTAATGAGTTATTTGTCACAATAGATTTACCAATACGATACTATTGGGGATAAATGGTCTTTGAAGGTTTGTAAAAATATTAAATATACCATTTAAATGCAACCTTTTGCTAAAATAAAATAATCATATTTCTAGACAGCTACAGCTGAAGTTGCAGAAACTATGCCAGGACCTAGAATGGGGCATACAGCCGTTTTAGGTAATTTATTTTTTTTTTTCTCATCTCATACATAAAAAAAGAATAACTATAAAATTTTATATTATGTTTAGGCTCCAGTAAAATTATTGTCTACGGAGGATTGTACTATAATGATGACATACCATATGGTATACCATCTAAAGAAACAATTGCTATGTTGGATATTACTACTCTAGTATGGTCGATACCTCCGCTTGAAAATTTTAATAATATACCAAAACTTGCTTTTCATTCTGCTAAATTGGTGTATGATGCGGCTATGATTATCACTTTTGGTGAGTTACCTTTTTTTTAAAAAAAAAAAATTAGGATTGCATATCTTTCTAAACTTACACGATTCATCTGATTTTACTCTTTCAGGAAATAATACGGACATTCCAAATAGTAATAATCAATATAATAGATTTATCTATGTTTTTTTATTTGTAGGCCAAAAATATAAATGGATAAATGTACCATTAAATGTACCAACGAAGGATAGTATTAAACCAAAATCAAAATCAGAAATCCCATCACCTAATATTTCTAAAACGAGTCCACCTCAAACTAATTCAAATAGCAAAATTTTAATTGTCTGTGTGTCGATTGGATCAGTAGCGGCTGGTTTAACATTATTTGTAGCTTCTATATTTGCTTATAAACGCATTAAGAAAAATAAGAATCAATCATCTAGTTGATTCGATGCTTTTTAATCAAGTTAATGAGTTGATTATTATACATTAAATTATTTTAGAGTATAATATTTATATGTTTATTTTAATTACTTAAATAAAGTTTACCGGCCTAAAAAGCTATTACAATTTCTATTGCTGCATAATTAATACTAAATGAAAAATTTTATTTAAAAATCGCCCTCACAAAAAATTCAATTCTCTCACGTCCATAACTCATCAAGTTTTAATAATTGAATAAAATTACAGACGCAAATTTTAGAATTTAATTTATTTAAATTATTTTAGACAAAAAAGTATCCAAAATAACTTGTTAACGTTTAGTTTTTTAAACAATTATATAAATTGCGAATCTGCAAGAAATTATAATAAAATAATGTTTCAATCAACCCAAGAGTATTTTTGATTTTGAGTAAAACAGTTAAAGAAAACCATATGTGGTCGACGATTTTCACGTGACTTTTACGGATCAAATTCTCACGTGATAATTTAGCCGGCATTACAGCATTAAGTGTGGCGTCATAGAATTAAGTGTGGCACTCATGTGACTAAAAATGGTATTAGTCCTTTTCTTTATTTTTTTTTAAAATTTATCCAAAAAGTCCAATAATTCAAAAAAATAAAAATAAAATTTTGTAAGATTTATATAATATTTAATACTATAATTAAATAGATTTTATTTATACTTAATTAGTTTAATTTGAATATTACTATTATATTTAAAATATAACTTTTATATATATGAAATTATATAAATTAATCAATAATTACCAAAAAAATCAAGTTATACAAAAAAAAATCAAAAAATGAAATGCCAAAACTTAATATTTCATAAATATTCCATGGATTTTTATAGATTTCCATGGAAATTTATTTATAATAATAAAAATTAGGCAATTTCTATTTGTACACTATGAGATCCCCCAATTCCCTCTGTCATCAATTTACAGAGTTGCCACATCGAACGGGCATTCTCATGGTCGAACGAACGAATAAACGAATGAACGAACAATTAAACGAGCGAGCAATTAATCAACAACATAATTAACAAACAACATACAACAACATTATACGACAACATTCTTGGTTCACAACATAAATAGCGTTAGTAATATAAAACGTCGAACGAAATAAAATAAAATTTAACTTCTCTAAATTTTCCCCAAATTATATCCACTTTTACCTTTAATTTCAAACTTCGATAGCTCTCGCTACGAATTATTACTTTCCAAAAGTGTATATTTAATTCATCTTAAAATTTCCATTTATTCAATTAAAATTAATGAGGCAAACATTAATTAAAGTTTAGGGCGAACCTATTACCTTTAATTAACATTAAACTTTACTAACAAATAATTAAAAAAATAAAACTTATATTTTTATTGAGTTCTGTGGATGAGAACTAAGGAATTACCTTGAATTCCGCTCTCTATATATACAATTTTTATGCTACTTTCTATTCTATCTATATACTATCTTTTATGTTCTTTTTACATATTATCTTTGAACTATCTTTCTAATATACTATCTATATTTTAAATACGCTATCTTTTAATATGCTATCTTTTAATATGCTATCTTTTTATATATGTTCTTTTTAATATATTATCTTTTACGTTCCATCTTTATACTATCTTTTTATATTATCTTTTACATTATTTTGTGTTCTTTAATCTTTCTGACATTATTTTATATGTTCTTTTAATTCGCTTTATGTGTTTTGCTTATAATCTATCTTTTGTGGCTTATAATTATTCTTTCTTATCGTTCTTATTGTTAAAGATTGCTAAGCCGCAATTGATCGACTCTATTTATCCTATTGGTTCCTTGTCAATCATTCAATAAATATTACATCATGTAGATCATTACTCTTCCTAAATGTTTATCCTTTTCGGCTAATTATTTATCCATCTACGCCAATCCACGATTAATTTGTTCGTTCTTAATATTTAATAATTACATTTGGTGGTTGAATTTTATCATCTTTTCGTGCTTGATATTCGACCGTTTACATTATCCCCCTCTTCGCTATTTGTGACCTCACAAATAACTTTAATAGAATCGAACTCGTGTCTTATCCATAATAATTTTAATCGAATCGAACTCGGGTCTTATCGAATACCTCTTTTCCTTTAATTACTATTTTTGGTGTAAATCCCCTTCGATCATAAAATTTCTTTAACCATTCTCCATTTTGTGGTGTTTTTAGTATTCTTCCGTCTAATTCTTTGAGTTTATACGCTCCATTTCCAAATTCTTCGTGAATTAGATATGGTCCTTTCCATTTGTTCTGCAATTTTCCCGACCATTGTTTCTCTCTCCATGCTTCATATAATAATACTTTTTCTCCTATTTCAAATTTAGGTTTTCTAATTCCCCTTTTGTCGTGTTGTTGTTTTTGTTTTTCTTGAGCTTCTTTCACATTTTCTTTTATTTTCCTTCTTATTACCGGTAGCTCTTCAATTAATACTTTTACTCTGTCAGCTAATGTTATTTTATTTTCGTCTTTATCCAATGGTAGTTTTGCTCTCCTTCCGTATGTCGCATAAAAAGGTTTAATCTTTGTTGATGATTGCTTCTTTGTTCTATATGCAAATAATACAGATGGTATATGTTTATCCCAATTTTCTTCTCCTAATTTGGCTAATCCTTCGCATAAAGTTTTATTGAATCTTTCGACCAAACCATTTGTTTGTGGCCTATATGGTGTACTTAATCTATGATTTATCCCACATCTTTCTACTAATTCTTCCATCATTCTATTGTTAAAGTGAGTCCCTCTATCACTAATTATTTTCTTTGGACACCCATGTCTACAAATTATGTCCCTCCAAATAAATTCTACTACCTCTTTCGCTGTAGCTTCTTTTAGTGGTGCGGCCTCGGGCCATTTTGTAAAATAATCCATTGCTACTACAATATACTTATTTCCCTTTTCTGTCTCTTTTAATGGTCCAACTATATCTATTCCAATCATCTCGAATGGTTCATTTATCTTTATCGGCATTAATTCGTTCTTTCCTCTTGGTTTTCCTCTCATTTGACAATTCCAACACGTTTTTACATATTCTTCTACATCTTCTTTCATATTTTTCCACCAATAATTTTCTTTTATTCTATCTAATGTCGCTTCTACTCCAAAATGTCCTGATAATTCGTTATCATGCATCATGTACATCAATCCTTCGTATTCATAATCCCTGATTACTCTAAATTTGTTTTGTCCTTTTACTCTATATAGAATTCCTTCTTTCAATTCATATTTATTCTCCTTTTCGATATTGTCAATTATTCTCTTGTAATTATTTTCTTCCATAATACCTCTTTAATTGATTTCGCTTCTAAATTTGTTATTTTCGTTATGTGTTCTGTATTTTTAGTTCTGTGCTCTTCTCCATTTCTCCACCTCTTTAAATACTTTTCTCCAACTACTATTGTCATTTTTAACTTTTACTCGACTGTATCTTTTAGTATCTTTGTACACGCCCTGATTTTCTTCAAACATTCTAACCATGTCCAAATATTCATCCTTCTTTAATGTTGGATATGATGATTTTTCCGTTTTCTTTGTTTCTCTTCCAATGTAATTTTTCCAACATACGTCGCCATCTTTTTCTAAAAATATCACTATTGATTTATCTATTGTTTCTTTCAGTCTGAATATTTCTTTTTCCATCTCATGATTTCCATGTGGAGTAATTAATCCTCTGTCAAAACTTTTCGTCTTTTGATAATAATATTCACAATATGGTGATTTGTCTAAAATTATTATATCTGTATCTTCGTCATATTCTAGCATTCTTCTGTTTATTTGTTCCACTACTTCTTTTCTGAATTTCCATTCTGTCTCCATCTTTGATTCATAAAATTCATCTTTATCTTTTCTTCTTCTCTTATAAGTGTTGAATCTTACTTTTAATCCTTGCTTTTCCCATTCTTCAATTAAATTTTGTACTATACTTGTCTTTCCTAATCCGTCTACTCCGTCGATTATTACTATTTCTGGTTGATCCTCTACTATCTTTAATAACCTTCTTAATGCGTCGGCGTTCGTATTTTCTTTTCCCGACCTATGTATTACTTCAAAATTATATTGCTGTAATTCCATCACCCATCTTGCTCTTTTTCCTTTTGGTATCTTTGCATTCATTAATCCTTTTAATGCACTGTGATCTGTTATTACTTTAAATTTTCTATCGATTAAATATTTATGAAAATGTTGAATTCCCCAAACTATTCCTAAACATTCCAATTCTGTTATCGGGTAATTTTCTTCTGCTGGTAATAAACTTCTACTTGCATATGCTATTACTACTTCTTTTCCTTTTTCATCTTTTTGACTTAATACTGCACCTAATCCTTTTCCTGATGCATCTGTTATTAATAGAAATTCTTTCTTCCAATCTGGATGTCGCAATATTGGATATTGTATTAACTTTTCTTTCAATTTTTCAAACGCTTCTTGTTGTTCTCTTCCCCAAACGAAAGGTATTTCCTTCTTTCTCAAATCACTTATTGGTCTTGCTATCTTTGAAAAATTCTTCACAAATTTTCTATAATATGAATGAACAAAGTCCTAAAAATGATCTTATTTCTTTCACTGTTGTTGGTGCCTTCATTTCTTTTATCTTTTCTATCTTTTTATCATCTGGCCTTAATCCATCATTTCCTACTATATGTCCTAAAAATTCTATGTTCCTTTCCAGAAATCTACATTTCTTCAATTTTATTATTAAATTATTCTCCTGTAATTTCTTTAATACTTTTTCTATATGTTTCATATGATCTTTCAAATTCTCTGAATATATCATAATATCATAGATATATACTACTACAAAATCGTTTATGTATTCTTCTAATATTTCGTCCATTAATCTTTGAAATGTTGCTGGTGCATTCGTTAAACCGAACGGCATTACATTATATTCAAACAATCCTTTCGAACATACAAATGCTGTTTTTTCTTTGTCTTCTTCTTTCATTTCTACCTGATTAAATCCTGCCGC